TGTCAGTCGTCAATTGTTTTTGCTCTCGCAAAGTGTATATGTGTATATTTATAATAGGACACTATATTAGTTAAATATTATTTACTACTATAATGTAGTTTTATTTTGCAATATGTATGTATTAACGAAAAGCGACTGTTCATATGCTCAATAAATACTAACTCAATAAATAAATCACACGTGCGCAAAGTGTTATGTTAATATCATTTATATTTACCTCCACAGGTATATCATGTATGTTTTAATAATTTTTTTTAATGTGAGAAAGTGGCAAACGAGCTGGCGGTTCACTTTATGTTAAATGATAACCGCCGCCAATGAACATTTGCAATACTCGTAGGTTTGCGAATGCGTTGCCACCTTTAAGAAGTGTAGCAAAAGTGTAACACTTCTATGTTACGCCGGTCTTCTGTGAGATTGTGGTACTTACCCGGACGGTCCTGCCCATTCGTGCAACAGTGGATACTGTTGCGTGGCCCTACCACATCTAAAAAATCAAAAGGAAAATTTGTAGTGAGATATTTGACGTCGATTTTGTTTTTGTCAATAAAAATGTAAGTAAATGTATTGTTGCTATTAAGATCCGAGTAAAAAGTCGCTCGTGCCACCAAAATAGATTGTTTATTAATTAAAAAAACAATATAACCAACAATTAATGACGTATTCAATCAGTGATGCGCTTTTTACTCAGTGATTCGGTTGTTATAAACAGCAGCATGAAACTGGATATAGCCGACTTTAATTGTCTCGTTCTGGCGACATCTTATAGTCGTATACATTTTCTCTGATGACTTCACACGAGAAACTTTTATTACACAAACCCCTTCTTTTAACCGAAACGAGGTAATCGAAGATGATATCTTCAGATATAAAAATGCTAATTTCAAAGTATGACAGAAACAGAATATTAAAGAAAAGAAACGTTTTACAAATATAAACTTCACGTGGACAAACGCCCAAGAACGATTATCTGTTAGTCACATAAATAGTTGTCGCGTATGGAAATTGAACCAACGCGCTTGACCCTGAATTCTTCGATATACGTTAACAAATTTTTGTAGTTTCCTATTAAAGCCACCAGAACAGTATTCTAACAACACCTGTCCTGAGACACTGACATCCGAACATCCTCCTGGTGTACCCTAAAACATGGCATATCAGTAAACGGAATAACATGGTATACATGGTACTTTGGAAGAAATCCAATATATAACCACTAGAAAAACCCTCAATTCTAACCACAGCAACTGTTAAGTTAACCACGGGTCAGACGTCTATAAATTCAGGATGTTAAATGCGAAACGAAACTCGATGATATCCTCAAAATATGTTCAATTTGTAGACTCCGTGGCTTCGGCGTCGGGGCTCGCGGGTTCGATCCCCACACGGGACAATTATTCGTGTAATCCACAGATAGTTGTTTCGCATCTGGGTCTTTGTCCACGTGAAATTTATATTTGTAAAACGTCTTTACAATTCTTGTAAAATGTTTCGTCTTTTGTAAAATGTTTTTGGCAAAAAAAAATCCTAGCGACTCCATCCCTTCTTCCTGAAAGACAGCGTTGTCGTGACGAAGCGATCTCGCCGTTCATACGAACCGGGGACTCTTTTTGCGAGGCAATCATCGCGACCGCGCACGCAACGCTCGACATTCTTCGCACGAGAAACTAAATTAATATGTGACTGGCCGCGGCTGTCCTGTCAGGCGGCAGCGGGTAGCTTAGCGGTTTCGTTAAATAGCAAAAGTGCTTTTAGTTTTCGGGTACGTGTTTATACAATTCTGTAGGAAAGAAAAAAATGCACATTTATGAAACTACTAGCGAGTACTTCTAAACATTATAATTACAAATGTCATTAGTGTAATGTTACCTATTATTTCATAGCTCGGAGAAAAAGCAAAGTAAAGTTTTATAATAAGTATTTCTTTAATTGAAATTCACAATCTGCTCGAGATTTATTATTTGATGTTAGAAATTACTACAACGAACTGCATAATTATGTTATACATTATTTGTATTATTAATTCCAGTTTAAAATAAATAACTTAATTTTTTAATAAATTTAAAATAAATACTTTATACTGGAGTAAAAAGATAAAAATATTGTTATTGTAAAAAGAGATTGTTGCAGTGCAGACTTAACAAGCGGTCCCACCATCAATCAAAAATTTTAAGCAATTTAAGAACACGTTGTGTTTTGGTGAAAGCTTACTTCTCTGAACGCGTTTTGTAAAGACGCTTTAGATACATGTCCTCTACAATAGTAAAGCCATGTACAACGTTCAAAAATACATTTAAATAGGTCGAGGAAGGGGACTTGATACGCCGGACCCACAGCCGGGGGTCCCGCCGGATAACACTACACCCACAGTTAGTGCAACAACAAAACGCGTACACAAGGTACATCCGCGTTCCGGGGCGGTTCTCACCGCTCCCAGCCACCGATTAGCTAATTGCACAGTCGACGGCAATCGGGGTTTCGGTCCGAACCGCGACCTCGATGGCCCTTAGATGACACACCATAGTTAAACGCACACATGAGCACATGCGCGGCCCTACCCACAGCGGAGGGCCCATACCCGTGGGTTCTGGCTAGCCCACCGGTTCTGCGTCAGATGAAGCTTTAATAGTCTCGGGACTGAAAGCAGAAACATCAGTTAATACAAGATACAAGACATTTAAAGTTTTTTAAGTTTTCTTTTTTCGTTCGGTAGAACTGACCGACAATTTACTGTAGCTGTAGATAAGTTGATGCTTAAAGACAATACTTTTTTCTAATACTTCGAATGTTCCAACAACTTCAAACTTCTATATACGCCTTTCGTTATCTACTACCTGTGCGGTAACAATAATATCGCACTGCTTATCGCTTACGCCGCCACTGTACTCCGACCCCGTTTCAGTTCGAAAGTCATTGGCTATGAATTGTAATTAAACGAAAAAATGTAAAATCCTCCGCAACACTACTATTTCACGGTACAACGGTTTTCGGATAAACAATTACGACGCACGAAACGTTTTTTTAGATTTCAGTCTGCTGAAAAAGTGAAGCAAGACATTTATTCACATTAAACCGTGTTGCATCTCAAAGAAATTCGTTATTTGTCTTGCCCTTCTGCCCTTTGTGGGGTCGGCACATGTAAATAATGATGTTATATTCGTAGCGACCCACCCCGGCTTCGCGCGGGTGCAATGTATTATACATATAAATCTTCCTTCCTCTTCCTCTTGAATCACTGTCTAGTAAAAAAAACCGCATCAAGATCCATTGTAAATTTTAAAGTTTTTTATAGTGCTAATCTCTGCACTTAAGATTTGAACATTAAAACATGTAGAAAAAGTACGAAAAGATTGTCGCCGCTGTGGGAATCGAACCCACGTCTTCGGCATTCGCGGCCTGACGCTCTAGCCACTGAGCTAAACGGCTGATAGCCACAGCGACGAAAATCTTAACGCCTTCTTTCTACATTGTTATTTAGCATTTTGAAGCAATGCTTGGCGCATCAATGCATAAAACGGGACCCTATTACTAAGACTCCTATCTATCTGTCTATCTGTCCGTCCGTCTGTCACCAGGTTGTATCCCATAAACAGTGATAGTTAGACATTTGAAATACTAAAAAAGAGAATAAAAAAATATTTAAGTTGGACTCCCATGTAACAGACATGATTTTTTCCCGTTTTTATAGATAACTAGCTGCTGCCCGCGACTACGTCTGCGTAGAATAGGCTGAAGACATTCAGACAGAAAGACAGTTAGTAGCAAGCAAAATAAGTTATAGCCTATGTCTTATTCTGATGTATAAGCTATATTATTGTAAAGTTTCATTAAAATCCATTCAGTAGTGCGTAGCGTGAAAGAGTAACCAACATCCATCCATACATACAAACTTTCGCGTTTATAATACTAGTAAGGAAGTAAGAATGGTAAGGAACCCTTCGTTCGCGAGCCTTTGCCGGTTTTTACCTGTTACAGTGGTCAGTCTTCATTCCACATGGCCTGAGTGCGCTTTGCGCTATGTTTGCCTAAACGCGATGGCCTCTCAAGAACTCGTCAGCTTTTTTTTTAAGTGAAAAGTTGTCAAGCGAGCGGGCGGTCCACCTGTTGTTTAGTGGATACCGCCGCCCGTAGATACCATGTGGATACCGTGGATACCATCTGCAGCACAGCGTTTAAAAAAGTAGGTTCCGATATCCTCACTCACCAGACGAAAAGCAGAAGTATAACACTTCCACTTCACGCCGGTCTTTTGTGAGGTCGTGGGACTTCCCCGGTAGGATCTGCCCATAACTGCAACAGCAAAGATTGTTGTATGGCCCAACCACAGTGATTGCAACTTTTGAAATAAAAAAACATCTATTTACATCTTTTAAAATCCATCGTTCATATCTCATTTTTCAATTTGAATCACTTCAAAATTAGTTTAGTCCATGCGACATTAAGCGTGATACACCTCACAAACTTTCGTGTTCATATCCAATATTCTCTTTCCATTTTCTCCATTGTAACCTGACATACTCGTTCGTGCTATATATAATTTAATGGACGGGGGGGTAATAAAAAGCTAGGCTATAACAACGCAACCACACGAATGTGGGAGAATTTTTAAATAACATATATAGACACCATCAGTAATATTTAATGAGGCTAATTTTGTTTCCTACTAATGACGTAATTACTTAATCCCATTTTTATGAATCCATAGTGAGTTGTTCGCACGCCCACAGGTTCCTGATCCGATATAAAAATAAAGTAATGATTTGATCTATTTAGTGAGTTTTTTCTCCAAAAATCTTGCCAATGTAGTTGAGCTACTGATTGATACGATTACGAATTTGCCACGATGATACACGACTTTAAATACTGATTACTTTTTTTTCACTTCAATAAAAGGCGATCCTGTGCAATATAATATACCCCGGGCCTTGTTGTGGTTGAATAAATATTGTGGGTGGGCTATCAAACGGCCCATTCGAAAATAAGACTTGGTATGCACGCACATGATGAAAGCATGCCTCAATGGCTCATCCCACTGCACGACTGTCTCAAACGCTAGCCAGTTAATCGACAGGGTGGGCAGGTGGCCCCATTCAGCAAGCCGCGACAATTGCATAATCCCGGTGCAGCCAGGAGATCGGACGAAGGGCGCCGGGGCCAGCGTGGTGGTCCCGCACGGCGCCGGTGCCAAAATTAACCGAGCGGCGTTTAAAGATAGGCCGAGTCGCGTTTCGCGCGCCCAACAACTCGGAGACGAACGCCGAATACAAGAGCACAAAGGCATTTCTCGGCCTGAAAGAGGAAACTGGCTGGCAGATCGAGTTTAGACGACCTACTGCTGTGCATACGTCTGTACAGATTTCACGAATTCTCATTTATTCTAAGTATGTTTAGATTCTATATCTTTTATTTACGTTTTCCGATTTCAAATAAGAAGGAGGTTTCTCAATTCGACCGTCTATATTTTTTTATGTGTTCGTGGATAACTTCGTTGTTTATGAACCGATTCTCAGCTCATCAGATGAAATATCACGACTTCCGAAAACTGGCGTGAACTGGAAGTATTATGCTTGGCAACGTCTGCTCTACAAGAGGTCCATGGTTGGCAGTTATCACTTATCATCTGATGAACGATCTGTCAGCTTGAAACGTTCTCCAATAAAAAAGATGTGGAGATTTTCGCCAAAGCCGAGCGCGTGGGATCGAGGTTTATTACAACCGTCTCTTCCTTCCGTTCAGTGATCTTGATGGAGAAATTGTTATGACATCTGTTGCAGCCTGTGCTAAGTTTAAGTCTATCACATTTTCTATTCCATATTTGCCACATATTGGTCTCAAATATCTGGATGAAAGCAAGCAGAGCGCCTTCTTCAGTGTCCCGTAATTTATAAGTCAGCCACTTAATCTTACCACTCAAATTGTTCATCTAATCTATACAGAAACCTGACTTCATTTTATTGGCAAAGATGTCAATGATATAACAGGTTTATTCGACACTTCTTCGATAGTCCAACAACACCAACTATGTAAGGTTTTGCAATTGACCATCGTCACACTTTTATTCAACACTTGCTCGATATGCCAACATCACCAACTCAGTAAGGTTTGGCAGACTTGGACGAACATTTGCCACAACGTGAAACATATCATTTAGTGACTCGCCGGGAATTCAGGTGGGAACATTTTGATACGCAACGGGTGCTATAATTAAACACGACGAGTGGGTGAAAATTCCGCGTTGGTGAATTAATTTAGGGATTTCGCAGAAATGGAGTTTAACAATAACTGATTTGATGAATTTATATACGCCGTGAACGTAATGGCTTTGGGTGTCTTCGCTCGTAAACAATTTTGAGTACGTACGGAAATTGGTATAGTTGTTTTTCATTTTATCGTACGAACATTAAAATAATAAAGCTTAAACAAAAAAAAATATAATTCAAATTATTTTGTGAAGGACGGTGCTGTTATTGAAAATAAACCATAGAAGCCGGAGTTCAATAAAAAAAGTTTTAAGTGTACAGTGTGTTTAATAAAAATAGCAGACGTTAAAATTCAGCTAAGTAACAATACTGAAACTAAAAAATTGGCTAAATAAATGAATAATTAAAGTTTAATGTCCCTAAGTCCGAATAGCGTTTAAATTTTTCTAATAACTTTATGTTCTGCATATTTTTGCCTTGAAAACGCAATAAAATTGAGAATTGCTAATGTTATTTATGCTCAAGTTCATTTTAGTACTTGTCTCTGCACTCAAGAGGTTTTGTAGAATAATTGCCGAATTTATTTTCGGCGCAGTTGGATTATAAACTGCTGCATCATCAAGGTAGAGTGCCGACGCTAAGTTTTTCTACAAAAAAAAATCACGTTTTAAATTACTTATTTAAGGCACTGAAAAAATGTCTTTCTTTAAATCCTTTTCTAAAAATGATGACCGTTGTGTTTAGTTGTTTATAAGCATGGGTGGATTTATATTTACCCTGAGCGGTCCCAATTTATTGCAGTAAGAACGTTTTAGTTTTCAGCCCGTAGACTATAATAGATTCATCGAACGTAGAAGTCATGTGTTATCCTGAACGTACGAGTAAGTAAAAATGTAGACGAAGAATTCGCCGGCTGTTGTTTTATGTTCCATTATAATTAAGCTTTTAATCTAGAGCATTCATTATCTGGGATTACATCCTTGATGAGATATTAGCCAAGTACTATTTTTTTAATAGAATAGCTGACTTAACTGCGCGAGCGGTTCAGCTGAGAGTTAATAAGGTCAGGTACGACACACTGAGAGTGGTAGACTAGCAAAATCATATTCAAAATAAGCTTTATTTCTTCCTACCTTCATCCAACCCATATGGGAATCGAACCCACGACCCTTTGCGCCAAAAACTTAGCACTTGCGCCACCGAGTCATCTATATTAAAAATAATCCCTTATCCCTACTTAATGTTATAAATGTGAATGTAAATTTGTTTGTTACGCTTTCACGTCTAAACTACTCAACCGATTATCATGAAACTTTGTACACATATTCTTGAAGGCATTAAAAAGGACATAGGATTCTTTTAAAAAAAAAAATAGTTAAGGGCTTCAACGCGGGCGGAGCAGCGGGCTAAGCTGGTATTCAATAAAATTTTACCCGCAACCATCGCGAAGAAGTGTACGTTAGATATTTAACGTTAGCAGACTCCAATATCAAGAACTTCAGTTTGACGTTGCAGCGTTTTTAAGTTCCGCAAGTAAAAAAATAAAAATACGGAATGTTATTACTCTGAACGAAAACGAGAACGATTGTTCGACGTGCATACTTAAGAGCGCAGTCATCATGAAATTGATGTCGTTTTCTTAATACCGATTCGCTCATTAAATACCCGACTCGCGGCCGCTTTCACGTTGTAAAGTTTTAAGTCCCTTAGTTATATTCTACATTGTATACAGTGTCGACTACAATGTAAAACATTTACCTGCCACTTTTTTTTCGGTAAAGTCGTCTTCTCACCCTCGAAGGTTTAGGATGAATCAACCTTTGAATCGCGATGATTAGAGACCTGTGACAGTCTACTGCTTGACATAGTTCCCACTCAAAATACGGTACATATGACACATTATTGCCCGGTTTCTGAAACGCTGTTCATCGTAGATGTTAACTAATCAGCTGTCAAATGGCTTTTCAAATGTCATTTGAGTTGCCAAAAGGATGGTTAAGCTCTGTGAATTGATCATTCTGATCATTAAGAAGATTATTCTGGTCAATTCAGAGAGTTTTTCGGTTTGAGGAAAGTTGGCAGGCGGCTGATAAGTGATAACCGCCGCCCATAGACATCTACACCAACTGACTGTTTTTTGTTTAAAGCAATCCTTAAAAACAGTGAGTCTCAATTAACTCGCTCACCAGATGAAACTCAAAAGTCTAAAACTTCTACTTCACATTGGTCTTAGTGGTGCCGTGGCACTTCCCCGGACAAGCTTGCCCGTTCGTGCAACAGCTGAACGTGTTGCGTAGTCCACCACATTACTTCACTTGCTGTCAAACAACGTACTTAAACTGTAACTTCAACGTTTTCTTAAACTTATAGGCGGATACTATAAGTTTAAGAAGACGTTCTTAAACGATTTTAACTTGCCTTCAGCTTTTGTGATTCGTTTCTACATGATTCTTATTTTCACGGCTGAGTACAATAAAACGATTCAATTTACCTCGTTAGCGGAATTGCAATGAGATTGCTAGAGTACAATAAAAATTTTAATTGCTTCTGATTGTTCATATACTTCTTATTTTAAAAGGTTTTTGAGTCTTTTCGTTCAACATCAAACCTGGTTGTGTTTCCCACAAAGCGCTAAAACACGACGTTTTATAATGTTACGCCTCTGTCATCTATCAGATACTAATGATGTCGTGATATTTTGGCAGAAAATTTCTGCCTACGTAGACCATTTCTATAATACTCATCAAATATTATGTTTTGGAAGAATTGGAGAGAAATAAGCACAGAAACCCATATCCAACGGTTAGCCATAGCTTGCAATAATCCCTGAGGGTTATAGCTAAAACTCTAAACAAAGCCAATGGCTTTGCCGCGCATAATTCCCTGGTTTACGGGCGGACTCTGGTGCTTTGCCATTGCGATAAACTTTAGTTTATGGCAGTGCTTGCTCTCTCGCACCGCGTTTTCGCAATCTTTATAAGCAGCATTTGGATCGCGAATGTACCGTAGGATTGCTCGTTTTCAGGGATAGTTATGGTAACTATTGTGCAGTATCTTGATGATTCTGTGTATTATCTCTAACCACTAAAATAATCAGTATAGAGTTGTAAAGTTTAATGTATTAGTCGCAGCAGCTTAGACAGTTTTACGAATGGGCAGACTCGTCTGGGGTAGTACCACGACCGACATGAAGTGGGTAGTACCATACGAAATCCAAATATATGGTAACCCAAAAGTATACCATACTTTTGAGTTTCGTATGGGTAAATAGAGCCCATTCTTTAAATGTTGGTACAGAACTAGAACCACTCAAATGTTGTAGTAAAGTTCATGGGCGGCGGAATCACCTTACTTGAAAAGAAGTTCTATAAGTTGTCTATCGAGTTATATTATTAACTAGCTGTGCCCGCGACTTCGTCCGCGTGGAATTTGAAATAAAAAAAATCTAAAATAAAAGTAGCCTAAGTTACTCCTTATTACATAAGCTATCTGCCAGTGAAAGTCCAGTCCAAATCGGTCCAGCCGTTTCAGAGATTAGCCGGAACAGACAGACAGACAGACAGACAAAAATTGTAAAAAAAAATTTATTTTGGTATATGTATGTACCGTGTATACATTTAGTAAAAAGCGGTTATTTTAATATTACAAACGGACACTCAAATTTTATTTATCTGTATTCTAAGCATATGTTACTCGTTGTAACGACACTTGCATTAATGGATACGAAATAATCATCAGCTCGGTTATTCCCGACATTAGCTGTGGTAGGGCCACGCAACAGTCTCCTCTGTTGCACGAATTGGCAAGCTCGTCCGGGGCACCACGGTCTCACAGAAGACCGGCGTGAAATGGAAGTATGGCAAATACTTTCGCGTTTCGTCTGGTGAGTGAGGTAATATAACCGGGGCCACATTTTTAAAGGTTGTCAATGCATCTACAAGCCATCAGCCGTTGCAGATGTCCATGGGCGGCGGTATTCATTTAACATCGGGTGAGCCGCCTGCTCGCTTGACAATTTCCACACGAAAAAATAGATTATCAAGCAGAAGAACGCATAAATAATCTCGTAATGTTCCACTGAACCTTGAATAGATCCGTCAAATCTTCGCAGTCCACGCGTGTCCAAAGACCGGTGGGGAGTCGGTGTCGAGTTCCGCGGCCGAGTTAATTGGGACGCGTTATATTTGGAGGATTGACTTTTAGTCGCCGCTCTCTTGTTTCAAGCGTAGGGAGCGTTCACCGGTGCCCACGTAAATATAATACAGGTGGAGAAATTATTCTAGAAGCTTCTTTCTATTCTAGAAGCAGTCCAGCCGATATTTTGAACAGATAAACTTAGACTGCATATCTAAAACGGTATACCGAGAAATCACGCGTATCTCTTTAACAACTATTGAAATTGCACATTAAGTTTTAGTTAATCTTTTATGGCTAACTTGGTTTTATGAAATTTTCTATCGTACGTAGAGGGACATTTTGGCTAAGCCTATTATAATGGCTTTTTATTGCGATTGCAGTCTTTAAAACTTTTCAGGTGTTGTATGACGCAAACGTTGGATGCACTAATTGTTGGTTTAACTGAGTTTGCTCAGAAATTTAAAACATTACCCCAAAATGCGAAATAGCAGAATTAACGTTGAACGATGCGCCTTGAACTTTCATATGTAACAACTGAAAAATAACTATAACTGATTGGAATTTAAACGCATTAATAATAATTATTTCCAATTCATTGTATGTGTGTGTCTTACGATCTTTGCGATTGAGGTCATATATCACACTGTATTTGTTTAAAAAGACAATGATTCATATATGTACATATGTCTATATTTAACTGCAGGACGCGGCTTCACCTTGTGCTTTATTCACGTATCTTATGATTTATTTACACTTATACTAATATTGTAAACGCGAAAGTTTGGATGTATGGATGTTTGTTACTCTTTCACACTAAAGCTACTGAATGTAATTTAAAACAGGCTACATTAATAAAGCTCATCAGAATGACACATAGGCTATTATTTATAAAGACAACTCTCAAAGTAACCGTGACTGTCTGTTACGCCTTCACGATAAAACCGCAGAACCAATTTTGGTATAAATATAGATAAAAATCGTAGAATAACTAATCCCGCGCAGACGAAGTAGCGGGCACCAGCTAGTGATGTACTGTTTTCTTGATGCCGGAGTCATTTTCTATTACACTAAGCTTATTTTAAAATCCAGCATCTTCTCGTACTTGGGATATGCCACGGAATTCGCGCGACAACCGTCCTCCTCACCGGTCCCAGGCGGCCGGCATATAACATTCCCGTTCCGGAATCTCGGCCAGATGTCCCGAATTCGCTGGTTGACGAATGTCGACCCTGTGCACCAGGGTATACAGTCGTCATTGGGTTGACGCGACGCAAGACCGTTACGATAGGCCTCAATCGTAAATGTCTCGTACGAGAGGGTACGCCGCTAACGATTCGCTTTGAACGGCTTTATTTTGTTTTATTTTTTTTTTTATTTGTAAAGGCAATGATGTCCTAGTGGAATCGGCGTCGACTCTCTATCTGTTCATAGTGAAAGTCGAAATTGGATCCCTTTTATTCCATCTAGACCTTTAAAGCACTTTGAACGTTGCTGCCATCTCCACCAACTACTGTTCCACAAACTTCGAGCTGACACGAAGATGCTCGAGATTGTGTGATAATTTTTTTTTTCATGTAAATGTGATTCGGTGAAATCTGTTAAACATACAAGTTAAAAATCATGCAATTACAGTTCCCGAATTAACAGGAGAATTTGTAATCACAGCGATGTACATCAATAAGGCTCGCTTTCGTGGGATCTATGCTTGATCAAGTAATTGTCTTTTGTACCAGCTTTACAGTGACAGGCTTAACACAACTCTCGCTAGGAACTTTAGAGATTGGTGAAAAGTTACTAGATATTTAATTGGTAGTTGTAAAGTTAGTGAAAATAAGCACAGTTAATAAAACGCTACGTAAGGGTCAAAATAACCCTTTCGACCGAAAATAACTCCTGAAACGATTGCTTGCTAAAGAAAAAAATATTTGTCGAAAACACAACTGCACGTAAAATCACCTCGAACAGTTTTGGCAACGGCAGTGTTTAAACAAAACGCCTCTGTAAATAGTTTACGACTCGCCGGAATGTTTTCGCGGATTCCACGCGCTTTGTATAATTTGTTCTAATTAAAAACTGTATTTAAAAAGAGAGTTGATTGAGAACAAACTAAAATTATTTTTAACATCTTCTGGCCTTAAGGGAAGAATGAAAAATGTGTTTTTGGCCGAGAACATCTTGCCGTTCCTTCTAAAGATTCCTCGGTCGATATAAATGTAAACAAGACTGAATTAAACGAAAATAAGCTTAATACGCTGGTCTATTTACGAACACAAATCACTTATACTATCCAGTTGCTTTTTTGTCATTCTAGAATCCGGAAATTTAATGATGCAAGACTACACTAAATATAGAATCGAGATCATTGATTAGAGATTTTAGATTGAATAGAGCCGAAGAGGTGGGTTCGATTCCCACAACGGCGACAATCTTTTCGTACTTTTTCTACAAGTTTTAATGTTTAATCTTAAGTGCAGAGATTAGCACAATAAAAAACTTTAAAAATCTAAGCGATTTTAAGAAAGCAGCTTGATAATCTGTCGCTAATTGGGAAATTGAGGAACATCAACTAAGTTTACCAGCAACAACCGGTTTCAAAATTCAATCTACAGATAGTTTTGGTTACTAGCGATAATAGATATCTGACATTAGCTCCATAATACTTATGTCAAAATTCTATCTCCAGCAACCAAATCCATCTGTAGATAGAATATAGAAACTGGCCATTGGAGTGTCATTTAACAGTGTACTGCTAGTTGTAGCTAACAGTGGTGGTTTAAACTGCTTCTGTTCCAACTTCTCACGTCTCACGATCTCTTGCTTCAGATAGAACGGTTGTACCATGGCTACAGTGACGGCTAGCATGGAGACGTCACAGACCCTCGTGCAGGAGTCGCGCGTCCACAGCTACCAGGAGGTGCACGTCTCAGAGACGCGGCAGGTCAAGAAGAAGTCCAAGTCGAAGAGGCACAAGGATGAGGGATCCATATCGGTGGTAAGTGAGGAAGAGAATCTGTTTCCAACTATTTTATGAATAGCTTATTACAATTTTTCATATGTGAGAAGGTGGCAAACGAGCTGGCGATTCAACTGATGTTGCGTGATAACCGCCGCCCATCAACGTTTGCAAAACCCTTAGAGTTTTAGGTGCATTGCCACCTTTTTAATAAAGGCTTAGGCTACCTCACTCAGCAGACGAAACGCAGAAGTGTAACACTTCCATTTAATGCCGGTCTTCTGTGAGGTCGTGGTACACCCCCGGTCGGACCCGCCCATTCGTGCAACAGTGAAGGCTGTTGCGTGGCCCTACCACAGTTTCAGATGTCAGGAAACGGGCGTTTAAAGTTGACTTACAAAGAAAAGTATATTTGGCCACACGCCGTTGTGTTGTCAATAATATTGAGCAAATGTGTGGAACATTTTGTCAGCGTCGGTTGTCAGTGTCTTCAAGGCACGAGTAAATAGAATTTCACTTGGGAAATGCGTTTACCATCTAAGATTACATTTTACTTACCATCATGTTAAATAATAGTCAAGAAGTAGCAAGTTTATTGGTAAAAAAAAGTTAGTACATCTCACAAAAGTGACGCCCTTTAGCTGTGGGTTACCTTGACAAAGCCGAAACCCGAAGAACAGGCCTTCAGCTGACGCGTGGTGGCATCTAATCAATCACTTGTTTATCAAATGTACCATTGAATCAATAACTTAGCTAGTACTTGCTGATTTATCTACCAAGGCTTGGAAAGCACAAAAGCAAAAAATCACAGTACTTGCTGATTTATCTACCAAGGCTTGGAAAGCACAAAAGCAAAAAATCACAGAGCTCGACATTACTTTTCCAACAGTCGAAGAGTTCTGAGAAGCTGCACAAGAAGCTGAAGGCGGTGAACGGGGAATCGAACCCGCAGTGCGAGAAGTGCTCGCGGCCAGTGTTCGCGATGGAGAGGGTCAAGGCGGAGCGCAGGGTCTGGCACAAGGAGTGCTTCCGCTGCGTCCAGTGCAACAAGCAGCTAACGTGAGTTTTCTCTACCGAGTTTTTTTCTTTTCATGTAAGAACATGGCAAGGGAGCTGGCGGTTCACCTGACGTTAAATGATAACCGCCCCAACACGCAAAGCGCAAGCATCTGTAGCCCTAACGCCCGGTTTCTGAAACACTGATGACCGTAGAAGTCAACTAACCAGCCAACTCAAATAACATTTGAAAATCCATTTGACAGCTGATTAGTTGACTGATGAGTTACTTCTACGGTGATCAGTGTTTCAGAAACCGGGTGTTAGGGCTACAGATGCTTTGCCACCTTTTATTAAAGTTAGCATGGTTACTTAAGTCATCAGACGAAACGTAAAAGTATAGCATTGCCACTTCATTCCGGTCTTCACCGAGGTTACTGCAAGACCGCATTTCTTCCCCGGACGAGCCTGCCCATTCGTGCAACGGCGGTATTTTAACAGACACCAAAGCTGTTGGCCCACCGTCAAATTAACACCAATACCAAAATAAGTCGAGTTACGGCTTCGTCCACCACCTAATTAAGTTCCACAATAAGTTGAGCTACCGCTTCCAGAGTGGAGACCTACCAGAGCGACCACACGACGCTGTACTGCAAGCCGCATTTCAAGCAACTCTTCGAGCCGAAGCCAGTAGACGGTGATGACGAGACCGACGGTAAGGTTACTCGCTGATTGTCCTTGCTGCTCCTTTCATTACGCTATTCTACTTCTTGTTAAGTAAAAGTAAAGTAACAGCCTAAACATGTCGCACCACTAAATGTCGTTTCTATTTCTTTGCTGACTCCTTTCATTCAGCTGCTCTCCTTCTTGTTAATTAAAAGTAAAATAACAGCCTGAACATGTCCCGCCACTAATTGTCCTTTCTATTTCTTTGCTGACTCCTTTCATTCAGCTGCTCTCCTTCTTGTTAAGTAAAAGTAAAATAACAGCCTAAACATGTCCCACCACTAATTGTCCTTTCTATTTCTTTGCTGACTCCTTTCATTCAGCTGCTCTCCTTCTTGTTAAGTAAAAGTAAAATAACAGCCTAAACATGTCGCACCACTAAATGTCGTTTCTATTTCTTTGCTGACTCCTTTCATTCAGCTGCTCTCCTTCTTGTTAATTAAAAGTAAAATAACAGCCTGAACATGTCCCGCCACTAATTGTCCTTTCTATTTCTTTGCTGACTCCTTTCATTCAGCTGCTCTCCTTCTTGTTAAGTAAAAGTAAAATAACAGCCTAAACATGTCCCACCACTAATTGTCCTTTCTATTTCTTTGCTGACTCCTTTCATTCAGCTGCTCTCCTTCTTGTTAAGTAAAAGTAAAATAACAGCCTAAACATGTCGCACCTCTAAATGTCGTTTCTATTTCTTTGCTGACTCCTTTCATTCAGCTGCTCTCCTTCTTGTTAATTAAAAGTAAAATAACAGCCTGAACATATCCCACCACTAATTGTCCTTTCTATTTTTTTGCTGACTCCTTTCATTCAGCAGCTCTCCTTCTTGTTAATTAAAAGTAAAATAACAGCCTGAACATGTCCCACCACTAATTGTCCTTTCTATTTCTTTGCTGACTCCTTTCATTCAGCTGCTCTCCTTCTTGTTACGTAAAAGTAAAATAACAGCCTAAACATGTCCCACACTAATTGTCCTTTCTATTTCTTTGCTGACTCCTTTCATTCAGCTGCTCTCCTTCTTGTTAAGTAAAAGTAAAATAACAGCCTAAACATGTCCCACCACTAAATGTCCTTTCAATTTCTTTGCTGACTCCTTTCATTCAGCTGCTCTCCTTCTTGTTAAGTAAAAGTAACAGCCTATACATGACCCACTGCTGAGCACCAAGAGACCCTACTGTGGATTAGCGGACTTCATATATCTTCTATGGAGCCGTCATAGCTCAGTGGCCGGGCGCTCGCCTTTAATTCAATATAATCAAGCCATATAACCTCGATCGCCAAGAAGTTGAATAGAAGACAATTCATAATTCAACAAAAAATAACCTATACATATCCCAATGGTGCGCAAAGGCACTTCTGTACAGACGGTATTACGGCATAGTCTACCACCCTACTACGGATTGGCGGACTTCACATGTCTTCGAAATACTTTACTTGTTATTATTACTAAAATATGCAGGTTTCCTCACGATGTTTTCCTTCACCGCTGAGCACGTGATAAGTCAGCACATAAAATTAGCAATTTCATTTGGGCCGGCACCGGGATTCGAACTCGGGTTGCTCGATTATACTAAATTTTGAATAGACTACTATTCAACTTCTTGGTGATTAAGGTTCGCAAGAAAATGACGGCCGTAAAAATCTACTATAAATATCTATCTATAAACCATGGTATACTTATTATCTTGGCTCAACCTACATGGGATATGGGTGGGAGAAAGAAGATGGCTGGAAGTGTTTTGATCAGATGAACATCTTGATCATTTATAAATAAATAAAATATTTAGGACACATTTTTACACAACGTTCTCTAGTCCCAAACTAAGCAAAGCTTGTACTATGGGTACTAGATAACTGATGAACATACTTAAACATACTTTTCTTTTGTAAATAAATACAGATTATAGATATATAAACACCCAGACACTAGAAAAACACTATGTTCATCACATAATATTTTTCCAGTAGTGGGGATCGAACCCACACCCTGTGGCGCAGAAGGCAGGTTCACTACCCACTACGCCATTCGGGTCGTCGAATTTGAGAAATTCTTCTCTAATAAAATTATCTAAACTTTCGTGAGACATTATTTATGAAGTAATAAGACGGCTGAACTCACGTTTAATCGATGTGCGAAAAGGGGCGCTAATCCCACTCGACCATGTGGTAATGGAGTATCTCTGATGGGTCCGAAACTAGTCGGTACATATGTCGATATTACTTTTTATTTTATGCGAAAAGTTGTCAAACGAGCAGACGGTTCACCTGATGTTAAGTGAATACCGCCGCCCATGGACATCTGCCACACCCGAGGGTTACAGATGCGTTGACAACCTTTTGAAAATTGGGCTCCGGCTACCTCACTCACCAGACGAAACGCGAAAGTATTTGTCATACTTCCACTTTACGCTGATCTTCTGTGAGGTCGTGGTACTTACCCGGACGGGCCTGCCCGTTCGTCCAACAGCCGAAGCTGCTGCGTGGCCCTACCACCGTAAAAATAAAATTACGTACATATTTCGATAATTCTCTTGTCATGTCATGTAAGTTCAAAAAAGAATGTCGATGATTTAACAAACCTCGATCAACAAACACGAATTAAAGAATAACGTGAGATTTTGGAAAGAAGACTCGCTTGCCAAAATGGTTTGAAAACAAAAACTTGTGTTTTTCTTTTTAATTTATTATACGGTAATAATGCACCTTCCGTTACAGCCGCACCGAAGAAGCATCAAATGATAATCTGTGAGAGCAATCCCGTCGAGCTCCCGCCAGACGTCGTTAGAGGTGATTTTGTAAAACATATCTTTTTTTTTTTCATTTTAAATCGCTTATTGCAAAATTCCATTCACGTATAGGTAATGTGAAATAATAATACTGATAAATTTAGATGTAAGGGTTTATAAATGTAACAATCGAACCAAAAATGTCGGTGAAATTTAAAATACGCGTCACGTTTAGGCACATTTCGTTACATGAGAGAGAAGACGTTCGAGCAGACGGTTAACCTGATGTTAAGTGAACACATGCCCATGGACATCTGCTACACCCGAGTGTTCCAGATGCTTTGAAAACCTTTCGAAAATTGGGCTCCGGCCACCTCACTCACCAGACGAAACTCGAAAGTATTTATACTTCCACTTCACGCCGGTCCTCTGTGAGGTCGTGGTACTCACCCCACCACCGTCACCGTCATCACCAGAGTGGGTTATCACGTATGCTCGGTTCCTATATTCAACGAACGGCCGCTAGTTACATTGCTTCGTAACTTTCATGACGACATGTAGATTAAAGGAACGCTTGTAACTCACATCCGTAGGTACCGTATTACCTTTCAGTGCGGCTCGTAAGGAAAACGCCTCGGTTTTTGTTAATACGATATTTTCATCAACGAGTCGTTACGGAAGTTACGGAGCTGTGTAACTAACGGCCGTGTAGGGAGCGGGCGTTAATTTCACTACTCACCCGACCCCACCACCAGCGTCGGACAAGCCCGACCTGGGGCTGGAGGAGCTGGCGCAGCTGGACGTGAAGTCGCGCTTCGAGGTGTTCGAGAGGGCGGCGCGCAGCCCCGAGCCGCCCCCCGCCCCCTCGCCCGCCCCGCGCGCCCCCCGCGAGAGGTCCACCGCGCTCCTATCGAAGCTCGCCAAGTGAGTGCCTCCCCAGCCCCCCAGCCCCCCAGCCTCCCGCCAGCCCCCTCTCCGGAGCAAGAGTATAGGCAATTCCTGCCTCGCACCACCACTCCGTGGAGCCAGCTGCCGCCGGCGGTCTTTCCGAACCGTCAAGACCTGGGAACCTTCGAGAAGGGAGCATACTCTCTCCTAAAAGGCCGGCAACGCATTTGTAAGCCCTGTGGTGTTCCAGGTGTCCATGTCGGCGGTGATAATTTACCATCAGAGGTTCCCACTCGTTTCCCGCTTTTTTTCCCATAAAAAAAAAAAGAAAAAGAACCTCTATAGAGTTGGGTAACAGCCTGTACATGTCACATTTCTGGACAAAGACTGTACAGAGGGTGTTAGAGCAAGTCCTAGGTGGTAGATTAAAAATACTATCGATAGATGAAATGTATGTTTCTTATGTCGATGAATTTGATTTTGAGTCCAACCCCCACCACCTATACATGTCCCACAGCTGGGCAAAGGCCTCCTCTGTACAGAGGGTATCAGGGCATAGTCCACCACGCGGCCCCACTGCGGAATGGCGGACTTCGCATGTCTTCGAAATATTTTTTTTGCTATTGTTTCGAAAATTTGTAGAGTTCCCCGCGAACATCTTCGCGGCTGAGGACGTAATGATTCAGCACTTAATTGGCAATTTCCTTGGTTTTAAATTGTGAATTTTTATACAAAACTAAAGCGTTTGGGCGCGAAACCAGTTTTGTTCATTTATCCACAATTTAAACTTTCATCTTGAGTGCAGAGACTGGTACTAAAAATAAGAATTAATTTCATTTTCGCCTGTATTGGGATTTGAACTCGAGTTGCTCGAGTATAATGAATTAAAAGGCTCTGAAATTATGTCTCTGTTGGAATCTAGTTTGCGTTCGATCCCCACTAAACATAGAACATCGTGTGATCTTATACGCGTTCGTTAAGGTAGGAAAAATAAGACAGGGATGCCCCTCTTTTATATGGAACTACGTACCTCAGAGGCCATATAATTTCTTGCAGTTCTTCTGTTTTTCGATGCAGGCACGTTTTATTCTTAATCAATTATTCGTAATTTGCATACTTATAACTCGTCACCCAAAAATAAGCGGATCGTCCTTTAAATCCAAAGCGGATAAATACCACGACGTCACAGAAGACCGACGTAAAGTGGGAGTTTCACTTCTGTGTTTCGTCTGATGAGTGACTAGAGTCCACTTTATTCGAAGGTAGCAACGCATTTGCAACCCTACGGGTGTTGCAGATGTCCGTGGGCGGCGGTTCCCACTTAACATCAGGTGAACCGCCAGCTCGTGTGCCACATTCTCCCATTAAAGAAAAAATATTATTATTTAAATTATTAATTTTGCGGAGGCTGCATGCTATTCGCGTCGTGGGAGTTTAAGTTTTTTTATCGAAGTTAAGTCGTGGCGCTGGCGTCGATTGTCTTCGTAAGCTGTTTTGTTGCATTCCATTCCTATTGAGGTGAGGGTGGGAAATTAGGGAAGATGATATAATGAAGGTACATGGAGGTATGTGTATACAGCGTGTCGTTACAACCGCGACAATAAATGAACACACATATAGAGGATAACTTTTTATAATTGTATTAAACATTTACATTCTTTAAACATCAATATTAACCGAGTTATTAAATTCTCCAAAACAAACAATTTTAAAACACCCTTACGTATAAGACTGTAACGTAAAGTTCATTTGTAAAGGTAACAAAGCATATGGATGGGTTGAATGAATTTAAAAGAGATAAAACATACTGTTAGAAGGAGAGACTTGTAACGCGACGCTGTGACAATCAATAAAAAAGTCTCTGAATGTATGAATTAGTCAGTTGTAGCTGTATAGGATGTTACAAATTTTGTTTCTTTTTAATTAATGAATTTGTTTGAAAATTTTTTTTATTATGATTTTTTAAAATTTGTATTATTTTATGATTATTGGCAAGTAGCGTTAGAAGTGTGTTAATTTAATGTCGCGGTTGTAACAACACGCTGTATATTTTGGATTAGGATATTGAAATTAATGAAGCTACATGCATCATAACGTTTTTGCGTCAACTCTGGGTGTTACATCATTATTATATGTCTTTGCCCAAGCTGAAGTGGCAATAGGCCGACCATATAGATCGAAGAACCGATAACCGATGGGGAAGAAAGGTTCTCGAGTGGCCGCCTCGTATTGGCCATCAATGTAGGACCCTCCACTAGTTGGAGTGAAGTATCAGTGGAGAGGCCTATGTTTAGCAGTGGACTGAAGCAGGCTGAAATAAGGATGACGATGTACCAGTCTCACACCCTCAATAAAGAATAATTTCGAATTATATAGCCGATTAAAATGACCATGCAAAAACACCCCAACACTAACATAAACCCGTGTAAACTAACATAAACGTGTGTTGTTAAATTTAGTTACAGAGTGTCCTCAATTTAACGACAGGCGAATAGACCAAAAATAAAAAATATTTTAAAACGGTTGCCATGGTATCTGCGATTTTATTTGTTTAAAAATAATTTCTGTATTTCCATCTCCTACACTTTTTAAAAAAATATCTCTTTCACATTCGAACGGATTAACGGTGCTGCGTTTTCTTCCAACGGATGTCAATTTTAATGACATGAATAAACCACTATGATTTTAATTGTTTTGACGGCGAACTTCCGTTCTTTTTTTCGATGCGCTAATTTATCAAATCATATGTTCAGTTTTAGACGTACAACGGTTATGTTATAGCTCAAATTTCGCTGTTCCAATACGGACTCTTCTCGCGGTGTACAGCAGCGAAATGTCTTGATACTTTCAAGCTTCTTCATTTTCCTGGATAAATAGTTTGATTTTGTTAAATTTAAAACGTTTTTATGGCTTTTAGTAATTTTTAAACCTTACGACGGAAACTTAAGTTGAATTTTTTTTTGCTTTAGAAAGTGTACGATTAAAAGCAATGATATAAAAAAAAAGTTACACAAAAAAATGACAACAAAAAAACATGTAAGTCATATGTTTTTTTATTTCTTTTAGGGAATTATTAATTTTTTTTATTTTTTCTTTTATAAATAATAATAATAAATTATAATAATAAAATGGTTTAATTAATACCACAACTAAAATATTTAAATTTAAAGATAAACAATTTTTGAAAAAGATTTTGAAACATGCTTAGTTGTGGATTCCTGGTGGCTGCAGTAGGTGTTGAAAACCCGTAAGGCACAGTTCTCCAGGTCACCACCCTTAGGAATCTGTTACAAAATCAGGTATTAGAAATACACAATTAACTAGCTTGTAGACATTAATGAGAAACAAAGTAATTAAAGAAATTATACAAAAAAGAAATACAAAAATTAAAATGAAACACCAAAATTTAATAAGAAAAAAACTATCCTATATGATTGGAATATAATAATTCCTATTGGGAGCCTTCATGCGTTGTGACGACAATTTGTGGATGCGAGTGTGAACGTGTCATGTGTAGTGTAGAGTTGTGTAGTTAGATTTTTAAAAACACTATATTCTAACCTCCAACAGTTGTTCCGTATCAGCATACGTTTGCTTAAGAAGATATTGCTGAAGAACATGTCTGATACGGTAATTGTTTAAGGGGTATAAAGACAATTTCCAAACATACCTTAAGTATCGCTCTTTGTGCACGTTCAATTTGAATTAGATGGGTCTTAGAATCGTCTATATTTTGGACTTTTTTTAATTTTTAACTTATTTTCACAAATATATATTTTTAAAAATAGTACTCGAAATGTCAAGAAGGTCAAAATTGTATTACAATTTAGCAATACAAGATATAGACGTTAAAAGTAACCAAAAGAAAATCAATTTAAGTATCAACACTTCTCGGGCGTAGTACAGTTATGACCATAAGCGTTTGCGTCATAAAGAGGCGTCGGTTACAACAACGCTTCTATTTTCGTATCCTTCAAGAACATCTGTACCACAAACCGCATTTACCGCTGAAAACCATCGCTGTACGAGCCTCGCATATCTAACAAATATATTAATTAGTTACTTTATAGTTCGTTAAGCGTAATGTATACATACAGAAGTGTAACTTGAATCGTTATTACAAACGTGTAAACCTTACTGACGCTATTCTCGGTGCCGTGTCTTTGCTGTTTTTAGTGCTAATTTAAACCTTATGTGATTAAGTTAAAGATTCGTAAGCGCTTTCTGTGTGCGAGTGTATCTTTGTGTTTCTTTGAAAGAACGATTAATATTTTTTATAATAGTTAATTTTACTGAAAGTATTTAAAACAAGAAAGTCGCAGTAAATTTTGTGAAATAGTGTTCGTGATTTTATTGCATTTTATTGCTAAAACTTTGTTTTAGGAACTGCAAAGGTTTGTTGATATTTAAAGTCTGAAATAAAAATATTTATATATTTTAATATATATATGTATAGTTTATATTTATTAATAAACTATATATATTTATACAGTTTATTTAAGTATTATTTAATTTAAGAAATAGATGTTTTTGTGAATTATCTTCGCGTTAAATTGTTCTCATTTCAAAATTTCTATTACTTATTAAAAGAATGATTTTTTCCAAATATATTTTTTTTTATGATACATCGCTAAAATTTTATACAGCTTTTTTCGGAAGTATATATTTTTAAAGTACTAAGAAAGTGTAACCTGAAGAGTATTACATAGAATTTTTTCATTTAACATGTAGAGGCTCCGTTTTATCTGATATATTTAACAGGCTTAAACCTTATTCGTCAGGATAATAAGCTAATATTATTATAAATAAAGTTTTTTACCTACACCCCTTTATACGACCCGATTGGCGTGAGGAGTAGTGAACTGACTCTTACGCCTGAGGGTTCGATCTCAATACCCATACTTTTCCAAATTTTTTTTATGTAAGAAGGCGGCAAACGAGCTGGTGGTACACCTGGTGTTAATTGATAACTTCCGGTCATGGACATTTGCAACACCCGTAGGGTTGTAGATGCGTTGCCACCTTTTAATAAAGTGGGCGCCGGCCACCTCACTCACCAGACGAAATGTAGTCACCTGATACGGTGTCCGCGTATTGCCTCTTCCTGAGTATAACTCCATTTTTATCTCTGTCCACGGCAGGTTCAAAGCAAAGGGGATGGATATCGGCGTATCGGATGAGTATCTGAACGGTGTGCAGGTGGAACAGAGCTCCAGCGAGCCTGAAGACGAGGATGGTAAGTAAAAATGCGTTTGTTGCCCCCCCCCCCCCCCCCTGCTGTTTTTATTGCCAGATACTTATTATGCAGTTTTAGCTCTATTCTAGATGTTTACCTTAATTTTTCATCCTTAGTATGCCTCCTTATATGAGATAGATGATAGATCTTCCCGTCCCGCAATTTTTTTTAATGCAAATTCTGTCATTCCGAGAAACGTGCTTTTTTCGTGAGAAAGTGGCAAACGAGCTGGCGGTTCACCTGATGTTAAGTGAATACCGCCTGCCCATGGATATTTGCAACACCCGTAGAGTCGCAGATGCGTTTCCACTTCTTAATTAAGTGGGCCCCGGCTACCTCACTCACCAGACGAAAGACAGAAGTGTAACACTCCTACTTGACGCCGGTCTTCTGTGAGGTCGTGGTACTAACCCGGACGGACCTGCCCATTCGTGCAACGGCAAACACTGTTGCGTGGCCCTACCACCGTAAAAGTGCTCGTTGAACTATCAAAGATTTTAGATTACGGAGTCGTTCCGTTAACACACCAGCTCCGGCTGATGTACGAATGGGCAAGCTCGTCCGGGGAAGACCAATATCAAGTGGAAGTATCGTTCTTTCGCGTTTCGTCTGGTGAGTGAAGTAGCCGCGGCCCACTTGTCTAACATTGGCAACGCATCTTCAACCCGTTTGCTGTTCATGTTAATGGGCGGCGGTGACCACTCAACACCGGGTCACCTTCAACGTGACGGCTGTTCCAAATCCCAATGGGCGGCGGTAATCATTTATGCCCGGTACCTATATTCAACGAAAGGCCGTTAGTTACATATTCATTATGATCGTCACAACGGGTCGTTATGAAAGTTACGGAGTTATGTGACTAACTGCCGTCCGTTGGATATAGCAACCGGGAATCAAGGTGTACCGTCCGCTCGTTTGGCAACTTCCACCGCGAAAGATTCGAACCCAGATGGCGACGGAGTGCTGCGCCAGTCGTACGCCCACAGCGCCCCCAGGGAGCAGCCGGTCTCGTTCTGCAACATGAGCGAGATCGTGGGCCGCTTCGAGGCCGGCCAGCGCTCCGCCTCCGAGAGGCACCGCGAACGGAAGCAGGAGATACAGAACATACGCAGCAGGCTCTTCATGGTGGGTTGACTTGGTTGGTGGTTGGTTGCCACCGCCGTGGGGAACCGCAGAACACCTTCATGGCGGGTTGGCGCGTGGTTGTGGTTGCCGCCACTCGTTGGGGATCATAGAACACCTTCATGGTGGGTTGACGCGGTCGGTGTTCGGTTGCCACCACTCGTGGGCAACCGTAGAACACCTTCATGGTGGGTTGACGCGGTTGGCGTTTGGTTGTGGTTTCCAACACTCGTTGGGGACCATAGAACACCTGATACGGATAGTTGATCCGTGTTTTTTTTTTTCTATTTTAGATATTTTTTATTTTTATCAACCTACTTCAAAAACCGAGGAAGTTGTCAATTCGATTTCGAACCGATTTTGATGATTGTTATTTCATTTGAAAGCTGGTGCTTCCCATGTGGTCACATATTAATTGCATTGGTATTGGATCTCGGGCTCCGGAGATACTTAGACAACTCCTGAAAATCAATTATAAAATGAATACGGAGCGAGATATTTGAAGTCGGTTTTGTTCTTAGTTAATAAAAAATTTGACTGGTTTTATTTTGAAACAGATATCCACAGCACTTTGTTAAAAATATATATACATGTCACTCACTAAACTTAAAGCCAATTTAATTTTACAATATTTAACTTAGTTATTTTAATTACAACAGTAAGAAACAAACAACTTTTAATACTTATAGACATATAGCGTGGATTAAAATTTTTACGCGAATAGTATACACATAAAAAATGTGTGCGTGTAACCTTTACGCGCGATTGAAGTAAAACTTCTTTGGCGTTTGACGGCATATATCATTGAAATATATAATAGATGTAACATTTATGTCAATATTATAAAATAATTCAATTAGGAATAAAAATAGTTTTATCTGCTTTTTATTAATATACTACTTGTTTACGCCAAACTCATTAGTAGATGTTTTGAAAATGTTTTGTTGGCTTCAATAATATTAACACATTAAAAAACTGTCCTTATTTCAATTAGCGTAAAGTAAGTATTTCTGGTAAGAGAATCCTTACCTTGCCGTAACACAGTCTTTTGACTAGCACGGAAGGTAAAGAATTTTTACCAGCTACCGCCAATTAGATATGTTTAAATTTAACAAACTACCCGGCTATTACTACTGATATACATTTTGTAAATAATAATTCATTTGTTTCTCCATAACAGTAACAGAATAATTTGTTTTGTTTTTTTTTCTTTTCTTTTGTTCCATATAATGTACTAATTTCTATAGTGTTATTTTCTGTTTGAATTAATTATACTTTAACTATATGTTATATAGATTGTGTGGTGCAATGTAACTTACGATGAAATAAATAAATAAATAAATAATTAAAATGATTAAATAGTTTATGTATAATTTAGTAACGTCTTAAGTATATGTCATATTTTAAAAATATGACATATACTTCGGTCAGAAAAAATCTGAGCTACTCCCTAGTCGCGCCTAAAGAAGTTTTACTTCAAAAAACTCTTTCCAGCGTTCAGAAATGAGCGCTGGAAGGGGTTCGAAACGTAGAGAATTAAAAGAAAAAATTAAAACGCGACAAAATCCGTAAACTGCTTTCATTTAACTCTATCCGTGGGTCAATTAAATATCTTTAGACAATATAGAAGCATTACATTTACTAATTCATTGTCAAAAAACACTACTACCGGCTCGGAAAAACTGACCTGAGAAGAACCCGCGAAAGAAACTCGACGCGACATTTTTTTCTTTTCAACAAAAAAAAAACATTTACAATATGTTAAATTAAACTTTAATAAGCCTGGAGCGATCAATTCATTTCCAATGTCTGTTATACATTACACACAAATGATAGGTCACACAAACACTCGTCCCGTGTGGGAATCGAAGCCACGATCCAAAGCCAGTTTTAAGACGAGCTTGGCGACTGTGCCACCGAGTCATCAGACTGACTTCCCTTTGATGTCATACTTTAAAATTAGTCTTGTTTTCGATTATTTTTTTCTATCAATGCTGGCAAATCAATTGCGCTAAATGTGTGACAGCTGTCTATAATCTATAAATACGCTGTCAGATATATAAAGAACCGTTCCGCTGCGTTGCAAAAATTATTTATTTAACTAGAGCAAAACAGTAATCATTATAAACACAAAACCTGTTAGATAAAGTGGGTAGACGTTTAAATGAATGGGTTCAGGAAACGCGCGTCCACAGTGCTGTTTGAAAGAGAGGTCTGTAAGTAGTTCCGACGATTCTGTTAAAAATTCTGTGTGCAACTGTTTGTATTGTATAAACTATTTAAAAATAAACTTGTCGTTATTATTATCACCAGGGAATTCATAAAATCGAATAGAAAATGTAGAGTGAGGGAGATATTTGATTTTTTTTTTTCATTTGTTTTATTTGTTAATAAAAATGTTATATTATAATTGAATATAAGTAAATCTTTGGTAAAAATTCCGAACAGTACGTCTCGTTTTTCAAGCTAGAAAAAAATTTTAATCGATAGAGAAATGTTATTAATTAAATATTACATACGTGAAAACCAATGAAAACACTTTTAATTAAAAAAAATATTTAGAACTTGTTATTTTCACTAAATAAATCCGCCATTTTGTGTTTGACAACATGTATAAATTTACGAATTCACACACTTTTCCAAATTATAACCTTCGCATTATTAAAAAAGAGTCTTGAAAAATACTAAAAGTACTATTACACTAAAGTTTTCTGGGTGGTCATAAAAAAAACCTAACAACGAAGGCTAAGGCGGGAGCTTCGCTCCCTCCTAACCTTCTAACCTAACCTATCCGAGTCGGATCGCTCTGTGTCGGATCTGTGACTCATTTTGAACCTAATATTCGAGACATTAAGTGTACACTTAAAATTTGTGACTTAGTGTACACTAAGTCACAAATTTTAAATATTAGAAATTGTTGATAATACATATTCATGAAGTAGAAACTTGTGTTTTTGTGATGTATCTGTGTATTTGTGTCTTAGTTTTTAACTTAAAATAATAGTCTATAATGAATAATGGACGCACAGTATTGACGGATTTCAGTTGTATGAAATTTAAAAACTTTGTTAATTTTTTCCTCATAATCTAGTGGTTTTCATTGATTATAACTTATATAATATTTAATTATTAACATTTCTCTATAGATTAAAATTTTTTTCTAGCTTGAAAAACGAGACGTACTCTATTCGGAATATTAGCCAAATCTTTCTCTTTCTCTTTCTCCCTCTCTCTCTCTCTCTCTCTCTCCATCCCTCTCTCTCTGTACATGCAAAAGAATTTGATATGTATGTAAATATGATTTGCACGTATGTATGTCGTTTCCAAAGTAAAGAAAGAAGTCTAAAATGACCAATGTATCATTTTCCAGGGCAAGCAGGCAAAGATCAAAGAGATGTACGAGCAGTCCGTGATGCAGAGCGAGCAGGGTGAGACTTGCCTTAGGTTCATTATAGGCGCGTGTTTGTTATGAAGGAAAAATTAAATATTCCAAAATTTAAAAAAAAAACACAAAATAAAGCCGTTACAAGTTCGAGTTTGAAAGGCAATAATTGATTCCAAAAGTCTTCCTTATTTCATCTTCCTTAATTAAAAAACTTAAATGACGCACAAATCAAAATAGTTAAAAAAATTAAGCTAACAGCGTATATACGTCCCACTGCTGGGATAAGGCGTGCTCTGTACAGAGGCTATCAGGGCATAGTCCACCATGCGAAACCACTGCGGATTCGCAAAGTCAAGTCAAAGTGAAATATCTTTATTCAATATCTTACTTATATAGTCAAAAAACTCTACCACCGGTTCGGAAGGAAAGCCACTGACCTGAGAAGAACCGGCGTGAGAAACTCAGCGGGACATTTTTTTTTACTTGCCAAAAAAACTACAAATATGTGTACAAAACGCAGTCTTCACACATATAAACACTTTTTTATTTTATATAACTATTTCGATGGCATGCAGGTTTCCTCACGATGTTTTCCTTCACCGCTGAGCACGTGATGCGTCAGCACTTAAAATTGCAAATGACAGTTCAATCGATGCCGGTTTGACCGGATTCGAACTCGGGTTGCTCGAGGCTGTTGAATTGGAAGCGAGCGCCCGGACACGTTTATAACATAAAAAAAAATAAGTATGTCTGTACTTATGTACGCACATATGAAGTTACTATACTTCTGTAGCATAACAAAAGAAAAAAACTAAATAAAAAGTGCCAGTACTGTTTGTTCGAGAAAATGAATGCAACTCATAACTGCCTACGTAAATAACTTGAAATTATGAGTAAATGTCAAAAAGTTGTCATTGGATGGTCATTGGAAGTTGTAATTGGAAGTTGGTCTTTCTGCAACCAAATTCATCGTGTCGCTTTTTGGCTGTCGTTTCGCGCGCGTCGTGGAAAACTGCCCGCACAATTTTTCCCAAACGCGCCAAAAGAAGTGCAACTTCGAAAACCCCGAAAGAAGTGTAACTTCCTCGCCCCAGGGATAACGTCGGCGGAGAAGATCGGAAGGGAGCTGGAGCTGGACGCGGAGAGGGCGCGCGCGATAAAGCAGCGCTTCGAGAACGGCGAGCTGTTCAACGACGAGAACCAGCCGCCCAAGAACAGGGAGATCGAGGACCAGTCGCTGTTCAACGAAGGTCCTGGCTGCTGGACGACTTGTCGAACTCGTGGAGACTCAGCTTTACCAGCTGACCGACTTGACGAGCTTGTGGAAATGTAGCTTTTCCAGCTGACCGACTTGACTAACTCGTGGAAACGTAGCCTTTCCAGCTGACTGACTTGTCGAGCTCGTGGAATCGTAGCCGGTGTGGCCCACTATTGGAAAAATATTGCGTGATGAACATAATTGTTTATGTAGTGTCTGGGTGTTTGTATATCTATAAAATGTATTTATTTGCAAATGATGTTCAAGTATGTTTATCATTTACCTAGTACCCGATTGAAGCTTTGCTTAGTTTCGGATTAGATAACGACGTGTAACAATATTCCCTTAAAATATTTATTTAATCAATTAAAGCGAGTCGACCGTTGCTTAGCTATTGGGTTCGGTGTCGGGGGTTCGATTCCACACGGGACAAGTATTTGTGTGACCCACAGATAATTTTTCCGAATCGTGGTGTTTATTTCCCAAGGAGGGTTGGCGTCTGGCAGATAGAGAGGGCCGGTCGTAAAATACATAGCCAAAATCGCTGTTGTGCCTACCCCACCTTTTTTATGTGAGAAAGTGGCAAACAATATGGCGGTTCACCTGATGTTAAGTGATAACCGCTGCCCATGGACATTTGCAACAGACGTAGGGTTCCACCATCCCACAGAAGAATGGTGATGATGAAGATTCCTATGACAACAGGTATCGCTAAGAAGTCCAGGTCTATCTTCTTGGAGCTGGACGCAAACGCGAAGAGCATGCCGACATCCCCGCCGGTGCAGGAGGCGCCCAAGAGGAAGGAGATCGTGAGTTGCATTCCTATTGTGCCCACCCAGACAGGGACAGAGATATCATACCCTTTCGCCGCACACGCGTCATCTTTCTCTTTCATACGCTACATTGTACACCCGTGAGTTCAGCTACTGGCATCGTGCCAACTGTTTGTGCGAACTAATAAACACTAAAGATGAAAATTGTCGTCTGTGGTAGGGCCACGCAACAGTCTTCTCTGTTGCACGAATGGGCAGGTCCGTTCGCGAAGTACCACGACCTCGCAGAAGACCGGCGCGAAGTGGAAGGTTTACACTTCTGCGTTTCGTCTGATGAGTGACGTAGCCGGGGCCTATTTTATTAAAAGGTGGCAACGCATCTGCAACCCCACGGGTGTTGCAAACACCACGGGCGGCGGCAATCACTCAACATCGGGTGAACTGCCAGCTCGCTTGCCGCTTTCTTATGTAAAAAAATATCGAATAAAGATTAATTTATTCGATATTTTTCCTATATTACAAGAATTTTTTATATTATAAATACGTCAACCTATCAATATTGTGTTTGCCTATAATTTGGATGAGCAATTAGTTTTAAGATGACCTGAGAAAGCTTTATCGTCACACCTGCAGGTGAAATTGATAAATTAAAAAAAAATGCAATTCGAACCCACCACGGCCTTGCGCAGCCGTTCGTGCCGAAGGACGTGGTGCGCGCCGCCGACAAGGTGGAGGACGTGAGGATCGAGACGGCCGACATCTCGGACCGGTTCCGCTTCTTCGAGACCTACCGTCCGGAGAGCGCGCGCAAGGAGTTCCGCATGACGCCGCCCAGGCAGCCGCAGGTGACCACTTGACCACCACCGCCACCACCTACTGTCGCTACCACCGCTACCACCCACCGGCGCCCCCTTTCCCCAGACCTGGGAATCGGGGCACACTGTTTCCTATTTGCCATGTTCATTACCTATGCTATCAATGAATTTCTAATTTACTTAATGCTTTAACAGTGTTTGTAATTGTTACCTTTACTAAGCCTTTGATTGTTCTCATAAAGAATATATTGATTATTTTCCTTATATGTAACGCGATCTCAGTGTCTTTCGAACTGCACTCTAAATAATGTTAACAGAAGGTAGCTACTAAAAAGACACCCACATAAACTCTTCGAAGTCTGCCCGCATCGAAAAGGGTCCCCCAAGGCTCGGACTTGAGACCACATGTTTTGGCGTATGAGAATCATCGAGTCTTCGAAGTCTGCCCGCTTCGAGAGGGGTCCCTCAGGGCACAGACTTCGGGCCGCACGTTTTTAAGGGTATGTTTTCCGAGGCAGCGCGCCAAATCGCCGTCGCCGGAGCCCTACCACGAGCCGGGCGTGGTGCGCAGCGCGCCGGGCTCCGCCGACACGGCGCTGGCCGCCGACCGCCACACCGCCTCGCGCATGATCAGCGTCTTCCGCCAGCTCGAGGAGCAGCGCCAGCAGCCCGAGGAGCCGGCAGGTCCAGCCCTTCTACTCGCTTTCGCCAAACGTCGACTTTAAATCAGTGTTACCACCTGTTATAAAAATGCTCCTAAAGCAATTCAAAACCTACCAAAATTCACTAAATTCTAAACAAAACTTCCTAAGTGTTTTTTGTTACTAAAAACTTAACTTTTTTTTTCTTCCTAAATTTAGGAAAACTCCCTAAGTTGGCATCCGTGCTTTAAATGAGATATCCCATTCCTACAGTCCTGGACGCTGCTAACTCTACCAAACAGTCTCCGACCCTTTTGCCAAATGCTGAATTTGAACTTTATCAAATAGTCATACGACATTTGTATCCTATTTTTATGTCTTATAATAAAAATAATTGCACAAAATATATGTACTTGAGTAGACTTGTGACACTTATGTAGATGGGCACTTTACATTCAAGCCTAAGTCGTTCTCCCTTACCATAGCACAAAAGCGAGCTTTGGTAACCTATCAACTTGACAAAAAAACAACAAAAAATATTGATTTTTCAATAGATTATACTTTAACAATATGTTTTTGATCTCAATTTTACTACCCTTTTTTCATTCGGAGGTATGCTATTATTTAAAAAACAAAAAAAAATCTTTTGGTAACTGTAATTATAAAAAAAGAAACTTTACAGTCCTTTTAAATCAGGCCTTTTTTTAGTCGGATTCAAAGAAAAAGAAATTAAGAAAACGTCAAAAATTTACAAGAACCGTTCGTTTATCGCTATAGCGTGGTCACCCGTCGTATCGTCATTTTGTTCTCACTGCTTTCACACTACCACACTTAGCCGCGATTAACATCCGTTATTTTAAATCTCAGTGATGGCTCCGTGGCGCAGTTGCCACGATATTGGCTTCGGCGTCGGGGGTCGTAGGTTCGATACCCACACGGGACAACTGTTTGTGTGACCCACAGATAGTTGTTTCGCATCTGGGTGTTTGTCCACGTGAAATTTATGTTTGTAAAACGTCCTCACAACACAGGAAAATGTTATCCTAAAGAAAGGGCAATGTTTTAAAAAAAAAAAAAGGGCTAGCTTCAAAACGCGGACGTTTCCAGTTCGAATGTTTATAAGCAGCTTGTCGCTTCGTAATTCAGGTCCGAAGCCGCTGAAGCGGTTCACCCCGCCGCCGCCTGGTGAAGCCAACCACCAGGGGGACACCTCCTCCTCCGAGGAGTCTGAGTACGAGGAGGACAGCGAGGAGGAGCGGCGCAGGGGCTACATGGCCGCAAGGGATAGGGACGAGGCCTTGAAACAGGTAAGAGTGGGGGAGGTTAGTTATTGGGGATGTACCCTACCCAGATTGAGGAAGTCTGAACGCAAGGGGAGGATAGTGTCACCTACAGTAAGGGGGCTACAATAGATCTTTCTAGATCGCAACGATCGTTGGGACTAAACCAAAACAACAATATGGACACAACAGAAATAATGGATCTATGAACGGCGTTCACAGGCGCAACAGCTTGCCCGCACCAAGAGTTTCCGCGACCGCTTCGAGCACTGGTCCGAATCGGAGCCGCCCCGCGCCCCCTCCCACCCCGCCCCACCCCTCTACCAGCGCGAGGAGGACGCCGACGGCGAGTCGCAGCTGGACACCGCCAGGAGGTGAGCTACCACCCATCAAGCAGGTCACCGTCACGCATACTAGTAGAGTCCACGGAAATTTGCCAGCCAAGACTACGGTTGGCAGGTGATGATAGGATAGGATTCCAAACAAGGAAGGCCTTAAGGACCTTCAAAAGGAATTCCTTTCAAAAAGTGGGATATTTACTTATTCACGATTGATCACGGCCTTGTTATTCGATTCTTCTGTTTCCAAATACATTAATCTCACCAGGAGTCCCCCAAGGTGACACATTAGGCCCTTTAGTTTTCAAAAGTTTTCTATTGAGAGCATATATCTTGGGGTTTAATTTCTATCAATACTTTAGGTCAATTATGTCTTGATTATTTCTATAATTAATAATAATGATGATGATAATTACATCATATTAAATAATCAAATAAATTTTGGTTTGAGTATGCTTCACATTATTTTCTTTCTTGTCGCAAGATACTTATTTAAGTGATTACCCTAGTAATAATGAATGCGTATCGATTTCAGTTTGCGCGAGAAGTTTGAAAAGATGCAGGTGCAACAGACGACGGTGACAAAAACCGTGGTACCCAAAGTGAACCGGTTTGTGGTGAGTGATGGACTATGTAATATGAGAAAATTATATGTCTAATTCGTGCTTTGTATAAACCTATTGACAAAACGTCCGAATTATACTGATTGAAGTGTTTTTAAAGCACAAACCTTCCAAGGTTGTCGTCTCTTTCACAGTTCCTAGTTAATGAAACACTTATCTTGACGTTATTTTCCGAACAATAGAAATGTAAGTTTCACATAAGTGCAGATCTTCCTCGTTCGTGGTCCTTCCACGTACAATATATCGCCAACCAGTGCGATTATGCCACTCATGGACAGCCCGACACATGCAACCGCCCACTGACCCCTTCACAGCATCAAACCATGTTGCAGGCGCCCTGTTGTACGAATAATCGTGACATATAAATGTATCATGGTAGCATTCAGCAATCACCCATTTCAGTCTCTATACCGCTTACACCTTTTAAAGTGATAATAATTGACCGATTTGCTCAATTTCAGTGACCGCCGCTCGACGAGTCAGCTATGTTGCCTTCGATTACCAAAGTGTTTTATTTAACTCATTATAATCTTGTAAAGTCAACACTTGCCCTTTGATATTAACATGCGGCAGCCGTGGCTGGATTGATTATTTTTAAGAATATTAAAAAATTATATCGAACGTTTCACCGTGATAGTATTACTAAATTAAAACTACTTCAAAAAAAACATTGAATCACACTCAATTATCTTTTTACGATTATAAATAATTAAAAATTAACGGATGCCAATTCAAACGTTTACCGACCACGGCTTCCGCCATAGCCTATTGTTAAGTTAAATTTATAATCTTTTACTATTAGATCGTTAAAAAAAGTATTTATTGTATTCTATATAGGACTGATAAGTGTTGCATTTCGTAACGAGTGCCTTAGAACGTGCAATTTTTTACAACGACGCGACGTTTCCCGCCTTCCGTTGTTCGAACACTGCGAAAGGCGGGAAAAGTTCCCGCCAAATGGATAACAACCCCCTATATTCTCTAGTTTTCGAATATTTGAATGTTGTTTTGTACCGCGTAACATTACATAATATACATTTTTGTGACGTAACTCTTCATTCGTGTCAGTTTGCATTATTTAATCAGTGACTTTTCAAAATAACATAATAAGAATCTCTATCTTAATTATACACCGCTAAGTATAATTTCGCTTTGACGATGCCATCACTATTGTTTGAATAGAAATCGCAACGTACGTATTTATTATGGTTAAAACATTTCGTTTGAACGTATTTATTTTTCGCGTTTCATCTAAGTGCCATTGAGATGGGGCCCATTGCTTATATCGGAAAAATTATTTACAAAATATATTTTATATCCTATTGTTTAAGCTTTGACATTGCAATTGGCCCAGTTTTATTTATATGACAAATATTTTATTGCGTTAATCGGAAATATTTTATCTCGATAATAAATAAGTTGAATATGACTGAATATTGATTTTCTTCTATTTTATGTTTGTTCTTAATGGAGCTGGTTTAGTCGGTTTTCTTTTTTTTTTTTCAATTTTGTACTTATCATACATTGTAAAACTATAGTATGACTTAATAAAGAACTCAAAATTTTTCGAGAGCATTTTTATTTTTACATATAAGATTAAGTTGATTTATAGAATATTGATTTTTTTTTCTATTTCCTTACATGTACGTCCTTTCCTACAGACATTTGAAAGGACAACATATTGCAATACTAGTACATAAGCATAATCTATCATACAATTCTTGCAACCACAATATTTATCTCTTGGATTAAAATTCTATAAATAAAGGGAATAACAAAATGAAACAATGCCAATTCTATTATATTCTATTTTATTATTTTCAAAAATATAGGAAACTTGAAACAATAAATTAACCTGCTAAACGTAAACACGATAATATATTAATCGAATCACAATGTCCTCTGTCCGCACAGATTTGAGACCATCAAAGCTAGCTTGCGTTACTATATTTCTATTCGAACCCACTCTTGTTTTGAGCGCTTTGCAATATGCAATTTATTCATTACTGAATAAGAACATTTATTCAAATTACAAAAGAAAATTTTGTGTTAACACAAATAATTATGTATTTGTCAAAAAACAATCAGAAATTGTGCATTCATATGAAAAGCTTGGCTACATTTTTAACAAAAATGTAAGATGCTATTTGTGCTTGTCAGTGTCATTTATAATTTATTTGATTAGGCAGACTGCATAAAAGTTTCTCATAGATCATTTTTCTCACATTTCTTTATAACCAGATAAAAGAAACTTATGCTTACCGCATAATAAGAATGTTTAGATACTGACAAAATATCAATATTACTTGAAATAACTTTCGTATGAGTAGATCATTTTGTTAGCAGCCAAGATTAAAAATGCACAAACCCTTCACGCATAACTACTTCAGGGTGATATTTTAATCATAAGTTTTTAATTTAAGAGATCAAATGTCTCGATTCTCAAAATGAATCTTTCCACAGTTTCCTATAACATTCACAGGGATTAATTGTTCCGCAGACAATTTAATTCAGCGCAAGGCATTATACAAAATAAAAGGTCTCCTGTAACCATTAGTCAACTTAAGATAACTTTGACTTGCAGGAAATCAATATTCCCTTCAAACAAATTGACACATACTAATACCATGAAGATAAATGAAAAAAAATTACAAACTTCAAGAGCATTATTCCACAATTTTTACATTGATGTATTAGCAATAACAAATTAGAGCAAAGGGCAACAAATTATTTGTTTACCATGTTGTTGGTACAATAAAGAGGCCTTTCAAGGGTCTTTATAATATGTCATTATATGAAGAAAGTTTGGCCCAATTGAGATCGACTAAATGACGAATACACGACATCCATTTCTTTTCTTCATAGTTAAATATAACCATAAAGGGAAGGGTTTATTGGGAATCTTACCCACAATCTGTCTGGCAAGATTCGGCAGATCGTACATATACGTACAATCTCTAGGTATATTATTAGATATGGCCCATAGATATACACATGCATTTTGACTAATTTAGCAAGAATATTTTTCTATTTATGTTTATTTAGGTACATATGTATATGAGCACATATATTTGTATATGTAAACATGTATGTATAAGTTATTAATGATAATTATTATTTATTAATACCACCATAGGTTGACTGGTAGAGAATGTTCATTAAGTCCATCTTTTTGAGTTCTGCTTTTTCAAAGTAATGTAATAAAGGAAAATTAAATAAATAAATAAACCCGAAACATCTTTTGTTTAAGTTACTTTCAGATTCAGAAATAACTATAAGTACTGCAATTTAAGTCAATATCTTCATAATTATTGTTAGGCGATCCTTTCAACACATAATGACAGATTTTAACCAAAACATCGGCAACCCTACCAGCACATCATTTTGCATCAAATTCCATTGTCACTGTAATCTTACAGGGAACGAAATAAATAATACAAAAAGGAGAACAATCACAAAAGATGTGAATCTAACATGGCTAACCTATCAGAATAAAACTTTTATACTCTTAGTGCATTTTTTGTTAGAAATATGCGTGAATACTTTTTATTATCCTCTTAAAATTTTATTTATTATAATTTCGTCTTCATAAAACTCTTTTCAAATCACATTCGCAACGCAGTTTTAGACGGCGATACGAGATCTTACCTGTTAAAAAATTTCAACATTGGCCAAACTACAAATCTTTACAAAATGTCCAAATCTCAGATTACTTTACAAAAGTCTTGGATATTTACCGAATAATGACAAAGATCCTATAATATTGATTTTACCCTAATCATGTCTCATACAATTCACTCATCTTAACATTACCCAAGGCTGTTATTGAAACAAACATTGACCTCTGGACGTGATCTAAAACTGCGTTTTCAACCATCAATCTCGCTTAGCCTCTACGAGACCTTACACTATCTATTTACAGGGGCATTTAACCTATGGTACGAATTTTAAGGGCGCGGTGCGAGTGAGTGGACTAACAGCACAAGAATTAAGGTTTATTAAGATGAACAACTTCATTCCAGTAAAATTTTCTGTTAGGAAGTTTTTATTACAAAATTTACTTAAAACGCATCATGTTTCAAAATGTCTAAGGGACAATAAAATTGTTTCAAAAATGTGTTCCATATTTTGAAATATATATTCCGCAATGGAATGGAAAAATATATTCCGAAACCTTGAAAAAATCACATAACATATGTTAAAATCGATTTCTTGCATTGATAATTTTGCATTACTCAATAGATATCTACAATATATATATATATATATATGTATAATATTTCTCAATATTAAATTATTTGGGTTTATTAAAAACTATCATTAGTTTGTGTACCATTAATATTCTCTCAGGGATTCTCTGTATTAATGCAATAAAAATTGAAACCTAAACTACTCACATCAAAGTCTACAAGTCGCTGTCACCCCGCTGGGACACGCACTCGCACTTAATACTCGAAATGGAGTCTCACCGACAAAACACTTGTACCACTAATCGGGGGGCCGGTGCACAATCTCCTGCAACTTCGCACTGAGCAACTTCGCCTCGACTCCTTTCGACTCCTTCCCACTGTCCCTGTCTCTATGCCTGTCGGAGCACTTGCGCTCCCTCCTGTGGTCTCTGTGGTCCCGGGAGCGCTCCTTGTGGTCTCTGTGCGATTTCTCCCGGTGCGATCTCGACGAGGAATGCTTCCGGTGATGGTCGTTCTTGTCCGAAGAGCGGCTCTCCGATTTGTCGGACGACCTCGCTTCGGACTTGACCGGCTTGCTGTCTGCCTTGTCGGACGATTTGCTTTCAGCTTTCTCCGACGACTTCTCCGATTTATCAGACGGCTTGCTGTCCAACTTGTTAGAGGATTTACTGTCAGACTTTTCGCTGGATTTAATGTCCGATTTGTCGGACGATCTGCTGTCACTTTTATCTGACGATCTGTTTTCCGATTTATCGGACAGCTTGCTCTCTGATTTATCGAAAGATTTGCTTTCTGACTTGTTGCCATTGCCTTTATCCGTTGACCTACTGTCGGTTTTCTCAGTTGATTTATCAGACTTTTCGACGGGTCTAAACTCAGATTTTTCTACTTTCACTTCAGTTCTCTCCGACTTACTATCAATTTTATCCAATAACCTGCCATCAGACTTTTCAGACAACACCTCCAACTTTTCCGTTGATTTGTTCTCTGACCTATCCACAGGCTTACCGTCTACTCTATCGTTAATCCGGTTTTCGGTCTTCTCTGTTCCACCGTCCACGTCAGGCATTCTCCCATCACTTCTTTCCGTTTGCCTGTCACCCTTATCCGACGTACTGGTCTCCAATTTGTCAGGCCTGCTTTCAGTTTTCGCGCTAGTTCTACTTTCGGACTTATCCGGAACCCTCGCCTCACTCTTTTCTGGTTTAGCTTCAGTCTTGTCGATGGATTTCTCTTCCGATTTGTCGGGGCGATGTTTATCGCTGTCTCGATGTCTGTGCGAGTTCGGTTTTTCGGTTTTCTGTTCCGCCTTGTCCGACCTGTCGTGCCTGGAATCACTCTTCCTTTCTTTCCTCTCGTCTGAATGCTTGTCGCTCTTCGTTTGGACCTCTGTACTCTTTCTGCTTTCTGATAGTTTCAGGGCCGGTTTCTCTTTATACTTTGCACTGAGCGCCCTCATCTCTATGACGCCGCTTTTGTGTTTCGTCGCGGACGACTTTTTCCTTTCAGTTTCTGTGAGAGAATAAGGTCAATTATTTAGAATAATTTTGATAATGTAATGTGTTACTAGTTTGTCATAATAATTTTTAATTTCATTACGTTAATCACAATTGAGTAGACATGTAACATAACGGAATTAAGATATAAGAATATAGACGAAAACTAATAATTCAGGGAAGACACGTTGAAATCCATCAACAACTGTGGCCACAAAGAAACACACAATTCTCTCTTAAAATTAAGTATAAAATCCTAATAAACATTGACATAGGCTGCGTAGAATTTACAATTTTTTTTATTATAGGTACATAATTAGACACTAAATCAATACGTGTATGATTCTGGTTTCGCCAGAGTTACCAAGACGACATATATGCAAAAGAAAGGTTTATAAACAGAACAATATATTGTGAAAAGTAGCCTAAGATCATTGTCGTGTATATGGACCCAAATTTCCATGAAACAAAACTTTACATTACGTCACACATAGACAACTGCAATAACTAAAACAAACTTTTAAAAAGTGAGTTACCTTACTCACCAAACGAAACGCGACAACTTCACTTCAAGCCGATCTTCTGCGAGATCGTGGCACTTACCCGGACAAGCCTGCCCATTCGTGCAACAGTTGAAGTTGCTGCGAGGCTCTACCAATAATAGGCCAAAATTATGACCAACCAAGTTATAATCAATTATTGTGCGAAAATCGGTTGTGCGAAAATCGAGGGTGGGCTTTACCAGGGTGGTGAGGCGGCGGATCGGCGGCGGGCCTCTCGTCAGCCGGCGACGAAGCCTCCGAAGTGGGGTAGTACTGCTTCAAACGGAGATGCCACGCTGCAGATATGAAAAGTAACGTTATTCTTAATAAAAGATATTAAATTTCATAGTGCCATTCTCTGCACTTTAGATGAAGATTCTGATATACCTTCTCTTTCATACTCACAAAAAAATTACATAAAATATTTGCTAGATATGGTATTATAATGATGGCCTTTATTTATTTATTTAATCCCTATGCACACATACACAAAGATGGATAATATTTCTGGTAAGACCGGTGTGGAAGGCCCACATTATTAAATTATATAATTTAAATATAAATGAATACAATAACGATAATAATAACCCCTAGGAATGAATTGTGTCAAAGTAATGTTACTTTAGAAGAAAATGGAATATAATACAAGTTGATTTAGTAAAAATGAAAAAAAAGAGGATAGCTACGGGCTTCTTTCGTCTGTTCTCTGCTAGATGAACCTCATTACGAAACGTTGATATGTTTCTTATTTCGATGAATAAATGATTTGAAAAGGGTGACAACGCCATCTACAACCGTGCGGGTGTAGCAACCTTCCATAAGCGACGGTTAATAGTATCACTCAAGATCGGGCGAACTGCCTTGCTAGCCACCTTCTCACAGCGCAAAGGGACCCTCACCGACGGAGGTGACCGCGGAGACGGTGCGGAATTGGTGGATGATGTTCCTCGGCAGGAAGTACACGTCGTCCGAGCAGAGTGGCAGCCGCGAGTAGCGGACCCCCTCTCGCCGGAGCTGGTTCAGTTTCGCCTCCTCGAGCCTGGCGGAGTGAAAATACACGTTTTACTATCGCCCGTCACAGAATTCATATAAAGTCGATAATAGCTATTGCCTTCGGCGTGGGGGTCGTGGGTTCGATTCCCACACGGGGCAGTATTTGTGTGACCTACGGATAATAGATGCGCCAAGCATTGCTTTAAAAAAACCAAAAAAAAAAGTATTGACAACTTTTACTTCCTTTTTTCAAAGACAAAGGTATTTTTTTGTGTTTTGCAATTCAATCTGAACAATATTAAGTTGTTGCTTATCTTCACTGACTACCTTTCTAAACTTAATTTTCAAAGAACATATTGCACTGCTAAAATAATAAATATGTATAAAAACTAATCCTTAGATAGTCGAGTAGATTGTCATCACAATCATTGTGTCATGAACAACAAATTAACTATGCTTATTTAACTGTAATGTTTATTGATTAACTGCGTATTTTTAGTCATTCTTCGTGAATAAGCCTAATTAATGGCTTATTTTAAAATCACTAAAAAGAGAAAATAGGGACATTAGTGCAATAGTTATTTTAACTAAACGCCAATAGCTTTATTTATATCACTTATTTTTTTTTTTCTTATTTCTTTTTTATTATGTTTATATTTATTAAAAATTTCCCAATATTATTTTACCCACTGTGTAGTTGCAATTTTTTATTAAGTTTTGTATGTATCTATTGTGATTAGACGATTCATAAATATTTCTAATTCTTCTTTTAACTCCACTCAGTGGTTGGATCAAACATTTTCTTGTTATCAATGTGCATTATTAAAACATTTAGAAAAAGTACGAAAAGATTGTCGCCGCTGTGGGAAGCGAACCCACGACTTCCGCATTCGCTGCCTGACGCTCTAGCCACTGAGCTAAACGGCTAAAAGCCACAGCGACGAAAATCTTAACGCCTTCTTTCTACATTGTTATTTAGCATTTGAGGCAATGCTTGGCGCATCTATTGTTATATCCTTTCCAGCATAGAAACAAAATTTCGAATATAGTTTTACAACGATAATTCGTAATGTGCATTATGTTTGACTCTTACCAGGTGACGCACTGAGATATCGGCGGCTCGTAGAGGTCGAGCTGCAGCAGCTGTACCAGTTTGTTGAAGTCCGCCGCGTGGAAGGCCACCACGTCCTTGGTGATGCGACCACGATCGCCCTCGTCGCCGCAATGGATTGCCTTCAGGACGCCTGCGAACGGGATCATTTACGAAATTATACAAAAATCTAGCTGTGGGAAAGGCAGCTGCGGACCATCATGGGAAATACCACAGACGATCGGCGTGAAGTGGTAGCTTTTTTTACGTTTTACATACATAAATTTCAGGTGGACAAACGCAGATCATTTAACATACATAAATTTCACGTGGACAAACGCAGATCATTTTACATACATAAATTTCACGTGGATAAACACCCAGATACGAAATAATTATATGTGTCATCCAAATAGTTGTTCAGCATGTTTGATGTTTAACATACATAAATTTCACAAGGACAAACGCCCAGATTCGAAACAACTATCTGTAGGTCACACAAACAGCTTTCCTGTGTGGGGCGGTGCCAGGGATTGTGGGTCAAACCCACAATCCCTGGCACCGGAGCTGATACTTTGGTGGAGTCATCTTGCAAAGTTCCTTGCGATAGATATTGATTTAAACCAATAACTCATTGGTTTAAAATCAATATCTATCAATATGTCAGTCTAGAAATCCTAGAATGAGTATTATATAAATTTTATAGAAGCAGTCTACTCATGTATAATTGGTTAATCAATAATACTTTGTCAATATAAATTATGTTATGTCTCGGACAGGTTAAAGTAAACTATTTTTATTCTATATTTGCATGCATCGTATTGTCGTGGCAAGACATGCCAGCTCACTTGCTACCTTCTCACATAAAAAAATGATGTTTTATATCTATGCTATTACTAGCTGCCCGGACAGACTTCGTTTTTCTTTTTTAGTATTAAAACCTTCCGTGGACCTTGAGGAGCATCCAAAAAAATCAATTAGCCTAATTGGTCCAGCCATTCTCGAGTTATGCGTCCACCGACGTTAATTTTTATTCACTAAGATTGTTTTTATTGAGCGTGCCCACCGACTGCCGCGGTGGTGATGCGGTCGAGGCCGTGGCCCACGTGGTCCGCGTGCGCGCGCGTCCGGTCCTCGAACAGGAACTCGCGCGCCTCGCTCCAGCGCGGCAGGTACTGCAGGTTGCGCAGCTCGTTGATGCCAGTCCTGCCAAACGCACAGAGCTGCATCAATTTTTTTTTTTTTTTTTTTTTTTTTTTATTAAAAACATTACCCTTACTTTAGGATAACTATATCCTTTGTTGTAAGGACGTTTTACAAACATAAATTTCACGCGGACAAACACCCAGATGCGAAACAACTTTCTGTGGGTCGCACAATTAGTTGTCCCGTGTGGGAATCGAACCCACGACCCCCGACGCCGAAGCCAATACCTTGGCCACTGCGCCACGGAGTCACCGAGTCATTTTATTAGCAGATTATTCAATGATATTATTTTATTTGAAAAAAGAATAATTAGCGGGAGCGCTTGTTATGAGTATAATGAAGAAGCGATAAAAAACAATAGACATTGACCATACCGTCTCTTCTTTATGGGACTCTTGCCAAGCTCCGCGGTGGGCACCAACTGCTCACCAGGCCTGATCCATAGGATGGGCCCATCGTTGGACTCCTGAGGCTCCATGTCCACCGCCGACATTGGACCCCAGGGCATTGTCTGAATAGATTGAACATTTATTTAACAACCAAACTTATAACAGTTTTATTGATGCATGTTGGAAGTTTGAGCAACAAAATGAGTAAGAACACATTATACATGCATTACAACCATTTAGGAATTCGAGTATCAGTGCCCACATCCAACAGACTAGACCAAACATTGACATAAAGTACTTTACACTTCAGGAAAGTTTGTGTCTGATAATTATAAAGGCCTATCCATCTAAAATTAGAAGCGTCCAAATTAACATTGTATTCTATTAAGCCATAACTGGCCAAAGGAGTCTCCCTCTATAAACCATACATAAACCATATAAGTTTACAGCCATCACATATTATCAAAACATTTTTGCTCCCATTTCACTCACAATATGTATAACACAAAAACAATCCTTAATCGGATTATTATCACCAGGTCCACTTACCAGTTTCAGGAATGGGCACTCTGCCAACATCGATAGCATGTCGGGGAAGTAGCCGCCGACCTCCTCGTGGACGGTGCCCACCAGCGAGATCTGGTGCAGGGGCCCGCAGCGGAAGGTCCCGGCCGCGTACGATTGTTGCACCTGCCAGGGAGGAATTTTTAGGGCATATTTTTACACCACGTTCTCTAGTCCCAAGCTAAGCATCGCTTGTACTATGGGTGTTTGTTGGTTTATTAAGATAAGCATACTTAAACATACTTTTATTTTGTAAATAAATACATATTGTAAACACTGTGTTCATCACACAATATTTTTCCAGTAGTGGGGATTGAACCCACAAATTACGACCGCTCGAATTCGCTAGAATAACGAACATCCGAGAAACGAGGAATCTATTTCGTGGATACGGACCATGTTTTGATAGCTTTACAAGGTAAGGATATAAAATATATACTTTTCAGGAGTTTTTAGTGACACCGGAAAACACTGTTCTTCACACAGTGTTTTCCCAGTATATTGAACTCACACGCTCTGAGGTAAGAGACAGATTCACTACCCACAACATATCGAACATCAACATTGTACGCCATCGCGCGAACACACCGATACAGTCCACCTAACGGAGGTGGACCGTGTAATCGAGACTAGGGCTGCGCTTCCACCGGAAGGCGATCCTTTAAGTTCAGTGACCCCCGAAGAGGTCCAAGATATTATTAAAAATTTAAAACCGAAATCCGCCTCGGGCCCAGATAAGATCAGTAACAAAATTCTCAAAGCTCTCCCTGGGCCGCTTATCTGTTTACTGGCGACCATTTTCAACACTCTACTCTCCAGTTGCTCCTTTCCGGACGACTGGAAACAAGCCACGGTTATCCGCATTCGCAAATCGAATAAACCAGCCAACCAGCCCTCTAGCTATCGTCCCATCAGCCTCCTCAGTTGCCTGGGGAAGCTCTACGAGCGGCTCTTATTAAACAGGCTCAAAGAGCACGTATTTTCCAACGGCCTTCTGCCCACGGAACAATTCGGCTTTCGAGCTAGACACTCTTGTCCCGACCAGTTATACCGCCTAACGGAGCACATCCTAAAAGGCCTAAACCACCCGAAACATATCAGTACAGGGGCTCTTTTCTTCGATGTCGCAAAGGCAGGCATTCGACAAGGTCTGGCACAACGGCTTGCTTTACAAGCTGTACACACTCAAAGTGCCAGATAGGCTCGTACACACCATCCGGGCATTTTTGTTGAATCGCTCCTTTCGATATCGAGTCGAGGGCACCCTCTCCACAAGCCGCCGCCTCACGGCCGGCGTACCACAAGGCTCCTGCCTCTCACCTTTGCTCTTTACGCTCTACACGAGCGACATACCCAAAGACACCCACGTCAATCTCGCGCTTTTCGCGGATGACACCGCGCTCTTTTATTCACACCGCAACCTTAGAATACTAACCACTCGACTCCAAAGCGCTGCCGACCGCCTCGGCGATTGGTTCCGCAAATGGAGAATAGAAATAAATCCCGAAAAAAGTGTGGCGATTCACTTCACACGAAGTACTTACCCGTCACATCTTTATAATGGCCCTCGCCAATGCAGAAAGTTGTGGCAAATATCCCTTTATGGCCAACCGCTCCCCTGGGAGAAAAAGGTCAAATACTTAGGAGTCACTTTCGACTCGCGTATGTCATTTACTACGCACATTAATAACGTTCGTAATAGAGCCGCGTTCGTCTCCGGCCGGCTACACAATTTAACTAACGCTAAAAGTAAAATGCCCTTAAGGCACAAATTATTATTATATAAGACCTGCGTACGACCTATTATGTCCTACGCATGCATGATCTTCGCCCACACGCACCCTACTCGCTTGTATAAGCTGCAAATAGTACAAAATAAGTTCATCCGCCGTGCAACCGGTGCACAGTGGTATCAACGCAACGTCGATCTGCACAGCGATTTCAGACTCCCGACGATTCGCGAATATTTCAAAGATCTGACAAAACGGTTCTTCGATAGAGCCCAGCATCATCCCAACCCTCTGGTGGTAAGCGCAGCAAATTACCAACCCGACACAAACGCGAACGTCAACAAGCGTCGCCCGCGAAAAGTCCTCATCGACCCGGTCGAGGAAGGGGACTTAGATACGCCGGACCCACCGCCGGGGTCCCGCCGGATAACACTACACCCACAGCTAGTGTACCAACAAACACAATAGTTCGCCCTCGCCTCCGAGCACGGCGAGACCAACACAACGCGTACACAAGGTACATCCGCGTTCCAGGGCGGTTCTCACCGCCCGCAGCCACCGATTAGCTAAAAACACAGTCGACGGCCATCGGGGTCTCGGTCCGCACCGCAACTTCGATGGCCCTTAGATGACATGTCGTAGTTAAACGCACGCATGAGCACATGCGCGGCCCTACCCACAGCGGAGGGCCCAAACCCGTGGGTTCTGTCTAGCCCACCGGTTCTGCGTCAGATGAAGCTTTAATAGTCTCGGGACTGAAAGCAAAAACATCAGTTGATACAAGATACAAGATACATCAACATATCATCAACATATCGATATATCCGTCGAGCTTCGATATCGCTATCTACTAGTGGTAGCGGCCGATGGTGTCGCCCTCGATGTCGACATCGATACATCGACACATTCCATCGCTACCTGCTGTTGATGGCGACCGACGGTGTCGCCCTCTACGTCGACGTCGGACGTCGACACATCGAGCCATTGTATCGCCACCCGCCGTCCTACGCCTTACCTGCTGGTGGTAGCGGCTGACGGTGGTGGTCTCGATGTCGGAGGCGCGCGCCAGCACGCCCGCCTTGACCACCAGCGCCGGATGCCGCTCGGCGAGGTAGCGCAGCAGGCAGGGCAGCCGGCCCGCCGCGCCGCGCACCACGCCGCACACGAACCGCGCCCAGCCGCCGCTGTCCTCGGAGAACACCAGCTGAGGATCAACGGACAATTGATTTGGGGGACTGGCATACGTTTATATGTTTCATGGTTATTGGCAAGTAGCGCAAGTAATTATTTCGGATGTCTTTTTCTTCTGTGCACACTTTCGAAGAGCCCGTAGAAGCCAAATATTCAATACTTGACAATGGGTCCCAAACAGAAAATATGTCTCCTCGTCCACACATCCACGTATCGATATATCCGTCGAGCTTCGTGATCTATACTGGCGGTTCACATGATGTTAACTGATAACCGCCGCCCGCGGACATTTGCAACGCCCGTGGGGCTGCAGATGCATTGCCACCTTTAAATAAAGTGGGCCCCGGCCACCTCGCTCGCCAGACGAAATTTTACGCCGGTCTTCTGTGAGTTCGTGGTACTTACCCGGACAGACCTGCCCGTTCTTGCAACAGTGAACACTGTTGCGTGGTCCTACCACAGTTAGCTAGTCACATCTAGTCACGGATGCCAAGGATATGACAATGGATGCGCCAATCATTGCTTCAAATGCTAAATAACAATGATAGATAAGAATCGTTAAGATTTTCGTGTTTAGCTTAGTGGCTAAAGCGACAGGCCGCGAATGCCGAAGACGTGGTTTCGATTCCCACAATTTTAACATTTAAACATTTTTTTCGTTCAGTTTCGGTTAGGTGTTTTTTTATAACAGTTAGTAACACTTCACACGAAAATTAAAAAAAAAATTTGGGTCATTGCCCGATGACGATTCGGAATCCACGAAAGAGGAGTCGCGGGTACATGTTTACAAAAGAACAGTGCTTTGATGCTTTTGTGGTGGCACATTTAACGATTAATACTAAGCTGAGTTGGTAAGCGTCTGGGCGCGAAACCAGAAGACGCAGGTTCGAATCCCGCAGCACCGAAAGTTTTTGTTTATTAATATACAAAAATGTACAATTCCAACGCCCAGTTTCTGAAACACTGATCATCGTACAAGCCAACTAATCAGCTGTCAAATGGATTTAAAAAACGAAGGTTAACTCTCTGAATTGATTGGAAAGATCTTCTTAACGATCAGAATGAACCATTTAAAGAGTTTAACAATTCTTTTTGCAACTAAAATGAAATTCGAAAAGCCATTGGACAGCTGATTAGTTGACATCTACGATGATCAGTGTTCACTAGCACTAGAAATAAAAATTAATCTTAAAAAATTGTGTTGACTATAACAGATGAAGGAAAAGGACAAAGAGGTTCACATTCAGAAACTCCTTGGCGAGGGACTCTTGCTGATGCTCGCTGAGCATCTCAACGTCGTGTTGATAAAGATAGACGACGCTGGCGCCGCCGTTCGGATGAGTCTCGACGCGCATCAGCCTGTGGGGTTTACATACAATTAATTAATTTCCAATATAAACCCCTTTTGGGATGATGCGACAAAATAACAATCGGTGTGATCGATAATTGGCCACTGTCTACCATTCACATCGGGATTAAAACCGAAATGGGGGCTGGGCCCGACTGATAATCAGCGCTGCAATCCTGCAGCTTATGCTGAGACGGCCCCTTCCGCCACCTTATCACAACACACATTTAACTATTTTAATTTGTTAATATTATTATAATACTTTACTACCCATTTTTTTTTTTAATATTTTTTTGTAACATTTATTTTTCTGTTTTTATTTTTTGTAATTTTATTGATAAGTTCTGTACAACTATTTTAAGGTGACGGAATAAATGTCTTTAAAATGATAATGTCAGTCTTCCATTCTGAAGTATTTAACCGGTATGTTATCATGTGTCTGTCTATAGCGTTTTGCATCTGTGGCTTTTTCTTATTTCAGAAGGTGGCAAGCGAGACCGCGTCTCGCCTGATGTCAAACGATATACACCGCCCATGGACATTAGCAACACCCGTAGGGTCGGAGATGCGTTGCCAGCTTTTAATAAAGTTGGCTTTATAAATGAAACTAATTTTACGGATTTATCGCGTTTATTTTTAAGTCTGTCCCGTGACCATGAACGCTGTAAAGGGTTCGAAACGTCGGGAACTAAAATTAAAAATAAACGCGATAAATCCGTAAAATTAGTTTCATTTATAATGTGTAATCGCGTAAATACAAGAAAAAAAAAGTTGGCTTTTTTTTATGTGAAAAGTTGCCAAGCGAGCAGACGCTTCTCCAGGTGTTAAGTGAACACCGCCACCGGTGGACATCTGCTACACCCGAGGTTTGCAGATGCGTCGACAACCTTTTGAAAATCGGGCCCCGGTCGCCTCGCTCACCAGACGAAACGCAGAGGTTTAACGCTTCTATTTTATTTTTTTATTTTATTTTATTTTATTAGGAAAACTTACAGCAGATTAGGTACTTATTTTACGTCGATCTTCTGTGCGGTCGTGGTGCTTACCCGCACGGAGCTAACCGTTCGTGCGACGGCGAACACCGTTGTGTTTACCACGGTTAAGGACCCGAATGGTCGGATCACTTCAGAGAACCACGCGGCGCTGCTCGAAGAGAGGCTCGCGAGGAGAGCGGGGTCCCTCACCTGTGGTACTTCATGCCCTTGACGTCGAGGCAGGGGCCCCTCGGACCCCATGCGGGGGCGGCCCTCTCGCGGCGGCACTGCACCCCGATGGAGCAGCGCTTCACGCGCGCCCTCCTCCTGCACTGCTGGCACGAGGAGTGCCGCGAGGAGTGCGACCTGATCGTAATGTATATACCCATTTTATTACAGCAAAAAATCCACAGCGCTTTGTCGTATTGCAATGCGTTGAACCAATTGAGATGAAGATGACTCCGCGGCGCAATCGCCAAGGTATCGGCTTCGGCGTCGGGGGTCGTGGGTTCGATTCCCACACGGGACAACTATTTGTGTGACCCACAGATAGTTGTTTCGCATCTGGGTGTTTGCCCGCGTGAAATTTATTTTTGTAAAACGTCCTTACAACACAGGATAAATTATAACACGTAGAAAAAGTACGAAAAGATTGTCGCCGCTGTGGGAATGGAACCCACGTCTTCGGCATTCGCGACCTGACGCTCTAGCCACTGAGCTAAACGGATATAACAATAGATGCACCAAGCATTTCTTCAAATGCTAAATAACAATGTAGAAAGAAGGCGTTAAGATTTTCGTTGCTGTGGCTATCAGCCGTGTAAAATATGTCGCACGGTTTTTTTAACGTTTTTAAAAGCATAAAAAGGATTTATATTCTTAAAATAATAGCAAGAACAGTTGAGAGCGAGCAAACATTAAAGAATATAAGAACTGTGGGCTATACTGAGGTCTGTACGTGTGCGCGCGTGTGTGTCACTATGTATGCAAATAGTCTATACAGCGTGTCGTTACAACCTAGTTAGGTTGTTTGAAAAATATTTTTTTATGGTTTTTTTAACGTTTATATTTTTTTATGATTATTGGCAGGTAGCGTTAGACGTGTGTTCATTTATTGTGGCGGTTGTCACGACACGCTGTATATACATCATGATAAAAACACCGCACCAGTTAAAGTCACACTCTGATGATTCCACACATACTTTATAATTATTGTTATTATAAAGCTATTGGTTTAAGCACCGGGAATCGTGGGTTCGATTCCCACACGGGGGCAATATTAATGTGACACACAAATGATTGTTCCGGATCCGGATGTTTTCCCAAGGAGCATTGACGTCAGGCAGGAGACTGGTCATGAAAAAATCTTGCCAAGAACGTTAACACATGATTTTACAGGTTGTGCCGACCCCCCCTAGGTGGGATAAGGTTTTATTTTAGTACTGCTGACTTTTCCCACAGAGCCATGTATATTATAAAAACAAGACAATGTATCCAAATCAAAATATAAAAAGACATTATTCTTTCTTACCTTCTTTCTTTCAATTATAAATATTAATTTTAAATACATTGATACCATTTAAAATAAGTATGTATACATATAACAACACAAGATTTGTCTGTCTATTATTTTACAGAAAGCTTGTACAACACAGGATAATTTTATTCTACAGTAGAGGAAATGTTAAGAAAAAAGTATATCTGTTGTAGGATAGTCCTACAACATATATATTGTCCCATTGCCCATTTGTGCAACAGCTTCTACTGTTGCACAAATGGGCAGTCTCATCCGGGGATATTCCATGAAGACTGCGGTCTACGGAAGTTTTATACCTTCATATTTAGTCTGTTGAGTGAGGTAACTGGAAACACTTTTTTAAAGGCAATGTAAGTTCCACACTTCAGGCATTGTAGATTTCCATTGGCTCTCATCACCTGCTCTATTGCCAACTTTTCTCAATTTCAATGACAACATAATAAACAGTGGTTTTAAAACATATGAGTTGGGCCCTTATGGCAAATTAAATTTGAATTTTCTCATCATCTCATCTCTGATACAAAATAAAAATCAATCTATTCACTCACTCTACAGACTCTTAAAAGTTTCATATTATACGGTTTTTTTACGTTAAAAAAGAAAATTCTTAATGCCTATATAATTTTTTAATTTCATTAACTCAATGTTAATAAAAAACGTAAATTTTTTTTTGGATCTGCAAAAGAAAATTTTCAAACTAATATTATCACCTTATTATCAATTGCAAATACCTACCTAATTTCAATACTCAAACTAAAGGAAGACACACCCTTATTTGCAATGTATTATGACTACACTTTTAATACCCAAATATAAAAAAGCTTTCTAAATGTTTTCCAATATAAGACTGACTGTCATAGAAAATTCACATATTGCTTAAATTCGAGGTAGTAGTCAACATTATTTGTTAAGGAAACCAGAAAATTTATATAGAAATTGTGATAAATGTGGGCCATCAATGGCATGAATTAAAACTACAAATCGAAAGCACTGGAAATAGTTTACTTTAGATAAAGGTGACAGTATCAGGGTCACTACAGTTTGTTTTGTAGTAACTGTCATGTTCCGATATGTGTAATCTTAAATGTGGGTACTTTTTACTTTGTTGTCAATTAAAGTTAAATAAGTGAAGTAGCAGCAAACAATTGACATATTACATATACTTAACATATGTAATATATGATATAATTAATGTCTTTTATTATTATTCTGGACATAACACCAAAGACATGGGTTAATTATTTAATAGGTATCTGTTGCAAAACATCATTATTCTCGAGAACATACCTAGGCTGAGTGGGAAGGGGGTGTTGTGTCAGATAACCTCCTTGTGGTGCACCCTGGGTACCAGCCAGTGGCCTCAGTGGCCACTGACTGGTAGCGAATAATCTGACGGGAGGGCGTCACTCCTGGTGTCCCTCTGGCTAGCAGAAGGCATACTGGAGAGGCAAGGGCCGGCTCGGCGTTCACTAACACTGTCACTGAGCAGGTGACGCGACTTTTGTTTGGTCACCACCGTCGACTACATCGCGGGGGACGTGTGTAGAACTCGTAAACCTGATCAAAGTGCTGTGGTCATGTCTCGCGGCTTTGATTAGGAACGAGGGCCTTGCCTTCATTGGCCGGGCCAAGAAGAGAAAGCCTCTATAAAAAACCCCCAATCTCAAGCGGCGGGAGCAGCGCGAGGAGATGCATGGTTGAGGGGTTGTCAATCACTACTGCTACCCGACCCCAGGTACCGGCCGATCCCTGGGCGTATCTAGGCTTACCCAGGTACAGGAGGGCACTACCTGGGCGGACTGAATGTTTCCCCCATACTCGTGGGATCAATTATGAAAAAGAATAGAACCCTAAAAAATGCAGAAGGAAGCGAAAGTAATGCAGGCCAAGGTGATCGCGTGACTGTGTCGACAGTTCGCGACGCAAAAACGGGACGTTTAGTGGCGCGCGGCTTAGCTGCGCCCGAAGTAGGTAGTGGAGGTGGAGAGTCGGACTCCTCCGTGATGTCTATTGCCTCGGCTAGGTCAACAGCCTCCGAGGCAAGGAAACGTGGGAAGGTAAAACCACAGTCACTGGATGAGGCAAGATCTCCTGAGCCGAAACGCCAGGCAACCTGTGCAGACCGACTGGAGCGTGAGAACGCGGAGCTTCGCTCTCAGATTGCTGAGCTGACTGCGAAAGTTGGCATGCTCACAGAGGAGCTCAAAGCTTTCAGAAAGGCAGAACAAATAACGGCCAAGCCAAAACAGTTTCCGAAGGAAGGTGACTTCGAAAGTCGGCTAATGAAGCGCATTGGCGCACTCATTGACCAGAAACTGGCAGCTTTTTGTAATCAAAAAGGCGTAAGGGAAGACAAACAGTTAATGCAAGACGGCCCTACGGGCCCTAGTACTGAGAAGTTGAAACCTGGAAACTCAAAGAGGACTCAGCGCCAACAACTATCGGCGCCCACTCCTATTGAGCACGCAACAGAGGGTAGTGCACTAGCCCCGCAAACGTGGGCAGTCGTGGCGAGTCGGAAAAGTAAAAGGATGGCCACAAGCTAGATAAATGCACCATTAAGTGGAGCTGTCATAAAAAAAAGCACGAAAAAAGCGGAGAATAAAATGTCACGCGCGAACGTAGCAAAGCCAGGACGGGTGCCCAGCTCAGCAGCCATAACAATCACTGTGCCGGAGCACAGTGAGAAGTCGTATGCTGCAGTTATGTCCGCAGCCAAGCAAAGAGTTAATCTGTTAGACTTCGGCATACCGAGTGTCCGGACAAGGAGAGCTGTCACCGGAGCTTTGAAATTGGAAGTAACCGGCCCTGACTGTGCAGCCAAAGCCGATAAACTAGCTGAAAAAATGCGGGAAGCATTGGCGGAGATGGACGTGCACATCGCTCGCCCAATAAAAACTGGGGAGCTGAGAGTGATGGATTTAGACGAGTCTGTCACTCCGGCAGAAGTTGCAGCGGCGGTAGCTGAATCGGGAGGCTGTCTTATCAAAGACGTTAAGGTTGGTGAGATACGCCGTTCACCATTGCGTCTTGGGGCCGTCTGGGTGCGATGTCCGCTCACAGTGGTTCGTAAACTGGCGACAGAGAAAGGCGTTCGAGTTGGATGGACGGCTGCTAGGGTACAGGTGTTAGCAGCGCGGTCGCTACAATGCTACAAATGCCTTCAGATGGGACATGTACGTAGCAGGTGCCCCAGTGATCAGGACCGTAGCACGCGATGCTACTCCTGCAGTGAACATGGTCACAAGGCGAGTCACTGCACGTCGGCCATTCTTAAATGTCCATTATGCGTGGATCTTGGTCGCCCAGCTGACCATCGGTTGGGATCCAAAGCATGCGCGCCGAAAGAGAAGGAAAACCGGAGGGGGAGAAAGCTTCATCTGACGCAGAACCGGTGGGCTAGCCAAAACCCACGGGTTGGGGCCCTCCGCTGTGGGTAGGGGCGCGCATGTGCTCATGCGTGCGTTTAACTACGACATGTCATCTAAGGGCCATCGAAGTTGCGGTGCGGACCGAGACCCCGATGGCCGTCGACTGTGTTTTTAGCTAATCGGTGGCTGGGGGCGGTGAGAACCGCCCTGGAACGCGGATGTACCTTGTGTACGCGTTGTGTTGGTCTCGCCGTGCTCGGAGGCGAGGGCGAACTATTGTGTTTGTTGGTACACTCGCTGTGGGTGTAGTGTTATCCGGCGGGACCCCCGGCGGTGGGTCCGGCGTATCTAAGTCCCCTTCTATGCTCTGTTGTCAGCGCGCTCCTGCCAAATTTCCAAGCCTGGCTAAATGCGACGGGGTATGCGCACGTCACGTTTCGGCTAACGCAGGTACTCACCGGCCATGGGTGCTTTGGTGAGTACCTAAACAGAATTGGACGTGAACCGACGACGCAATGCCACCACTGTGGAGGGGAACGGGACTCCGCGCAACATACACTCGCTGAGTGTCCTGCATGGGAGTCCGAGCGACGGATCCTTGTCCACAAGATAGGGGAGGATCTTTCTCCTTCAGCAGTAGTAGCAGCTGCGCTGGCGGAGAGTTCTGCTTGGCGGGCACTGGTCTCCTTCTGTGAAGTTGTTATGCTCCAGAAGGAGATCGCCGAGCGGGAAAGGGAGAGGGCCGATCCCACTCGGAGACGGGGGCGCCAGGCCGGCAGGGGCAGACGTGCTGCCCCGTCAGCCCTGTAGTCCCGGGCTCTAGAATAGGACTAAGGTATCTCCTGCCTGTCGTAAAAGGCGACTAAAAGGAGACATGGATTGGCAGCAGCACGAAGTGGCCTCGAGCTGCTGCAAGATGGTGAGGGAATAGGGGAAGGTTTATCCTTCTCCGTGGCTTGCTCACGCCCAGTACAGAGGGACACCGGTGCGTTCCGTAGGAGATCCCGGAGTCCCTCCAAACGTACAGAAGGTGGCCACCGAGGGGGTTTTAGTGGGTAAGAACCCCACATAACCCTGTCATATAATGACAGGGTATCTTATGAAAAAAAAAAAAAAAAAAAAAAAAGGCTGAGTGGGAAGACAGAATAATTTGGACGGAAGTATTAACAGGAAGGCAGTACCATCTCCCAGCAGTTATGTAACCCTCTGATATCTTTAAATAGTGAATTATGCCCTAGGCAGTATACTAAGCTAAAAACAAAAGTAATCTATAGTTTTTTGCACACTATAAACTAATAAGGCTTAAAGTTTTATAATTTCATCTGTGTTCCATATGTAACATTAGTAAATTTAGCTTTGTACACAAACATAATTAAATCTATCAATTGACCTTTCATGCGCTTACAAGTGTTAGATGACAACAACTAAACAACTTGATGCCAATACTCAATTACTCTATGTAATCTCAATTTAGTAATTATCAGAGTTATTAGCTACAAACAAACTTTAAAATTTAATGAACTGAAAATATTATTTAATTTAATATTTAATGAATCCTATTATTTAAACAATAATAAATTATTTAAATAATAGGATGACTATTTTTAAACCCTTCATAGAAACAACATTTTTAAGGTAAATATACTTTGGTTCAATTCCCACGAACCAAGTATCATACTTGTTCAGGATCTGAGTGTTTATCTTTATTGAATTAGTTTGTACAGTGCATATTTTTTTAGAAAACAACATTTATATAGTAATATATGATATACAGTGATGTTTTAAAAAGTTTTATGCATCCATGAGTCAGTAGAATATATTTAAACTGTCCTGTTGAATACAGGACAGTTTAATGAAATGGAGTGAGATAAAACCCACCAAATATGTTTATATTTAGTACTCTCATAATCATGATAAATCATTATATACAGTAACAGTTGTAATAGAAAATAATTGTTTTTATTTGGACTGGAGTTCTCCATTTAAAATTTTCACAACCTTTGACCTAGGGACTTCTAAAATGTTTAAATGTAAAGTGTAATACATTTGAATTGCAAATGACTGATCAAATCTTTTGCTACATTGATTTCGAATAGTTTGAGCAAAGTAACATTATCATAACAAGTAAGATTTAGGACATAATGATTAAAAAGCTTTTGGGAAAATTACTAGACTGTCCTCATGCGGACAAATTATTAATTTAATAACAAATATGCAGCTTGTTTCGTTATTTTTTTAGACTAAAAAGAAAGCCATGTTTATGTCTATATTATCCAATTCTTACTCATTTTAAATGCAATATTCCTAAAATTCTAGATAAACATGAATAAATTTTTACAAATTGATTAGTGGGTAATGAAATAAATACATCTTTAAAAATATAGTTTTACAAAACCTCTCATAGTGTGAATTAGTTTATATTATTAAACTAAACGGAAGTTGTTTCATTAGAGAATATAAAAATTATTTACATTTCAGACTCCTGTATTTACCAGAGTGCAGAATTGTAAATATTTATCACTTAACAAAAAATTTACATATTAGTAGTTGCTAGAATTACTAGTATTGCTCTTTTAAATTAGACACAATAAAGTACATAATTACTGATTGATCACATCTTCACCTGTGAAGAATAACTGTATATTTTCGGAACAATGATCAAATAAATATTTCAAACATTTTAAATTCTGCCATTCTGTGGTATAAGGATTTTGTTCACCAGTGTGTAGTACTTTATGTAGTTTCAGGTAACCATTATTACATTAAGTAAATGTTTAATAATTCATACCGTATGAAAAATATTGAAATAAGGAGGACATACCTATCTCTCTCCCGGTCTTTCTCCTTTTCCTTCTCCTTTTCTCGCTCCTTCTCCCGCTCCAACTTTACCCTATCATGTTCCACTTTCACTTTCACTTCTGTTTTCACTTTAGAAGGTTCATTTTTAACACCTGTACAAATGGCGGGAAATACTTGAGGTGATGATGGCCTCTCTTGCTTAATTTTCAGTGGGAGCTCTAAATTGCCATAACATGGCAGCTCTCTTCTTGGTGTTGTTTGAAACTTGATGGCTTTAAGAGCCAAGCTAAAGTGAGTAGCCGGCCGTCTTGAGTTCGAGTGTTCTAGAAGAACATTTGATCTTGTAACCCTAGGATACTTATACCTGGGCATAGTCTTTTGGATGTGACCATTTATTAACTTCAGCTGGCGAGACACTGAAGAGAAAATGCGCTTGGTGACATCATCACATGGTACAGAATTAGAAAGTCTGGCCTGCTTCCATGAGGCATTAATACTACCGAAAAAATCCTCTCTAATTGGTTCAGAATTAATCTGCAATAAGCTGAAATCTCTTTCTTGATGGAACAACAGTGGATTTACAATATTTGGTGACTTCTGCAACACATGAAGTGTCAGTACAGCCGCATCTCCGTATCCTCCAGAGTCAAATACCGGCCATATTTTGCTCAGTTTGGCTGGCTTAGAGTTCTCACCCCAAACACACATTTCTTTGGAGTCATCACTAAGTTTGCGCTTTATGCCTGTAATCAGAACAAAAAAGCAATTATATCAAACTGAAATATAGTGATTGTAAAAAGGGGTGGGGGATTTCTTGTACTGGGAGGAAAAACGAAATTTAGTATATTTATTCGTAATCATAGCCAATTTTTATGCATAAATTTATAATTCCCATCATTTTGAGAAAATTAATTAATAAATTTTCTCATCATGCAAAAGAACTGTGTCTGTTGCATGATGAGAAAATTATTGTGCAGTGTTTTTCTTGTCTAAATAATCAGTCTGTAATTTGCACTTATTTAGAAAATAAAAAGTATTTTTAGTAAATTTATCAGTTGATACCGATAGTGTAAGCTTTAGTTTAAGCTTAGTATGGATATAATGAAAATAATGTCCTGGAAATATTTATTTTTTTATTATCAAAATACAACAAAAATGGTTTGATATTAGAATGTTAATAACACTACTAAAATGCAGAATAATTTTATATCACAATTTTTTTTTATGGGAAAAGTTGCCAAACGAACAGGCGATTCACCTGATGTTAAGTGAATACAGCCGCCCATGGACATCTGCAACACACGATGGTTGCAGATGCGTAGACAAACATTTAAAAATTTATTTAAACAAATCTTTTCATTAAGTATACAGTATAAAGCTGTGATAGCTCAGTGTCCACACACCTGCCTTTAATTCAATACACTCTAGCAACCTGAGTTCGATCCTCAGTTCCGGCCCAATGAGATTGTTATTTTTAAGTGCTGACATATCACCTACTCAGCGGTGAGGGATAAATTGTTAGGAAACCTGCATATTTTAGCATAATATATCTCGCAGTGGGGCCGCATAGTGGACTATGCCCAGATACCCACTATAAAGAGGAGACTTTTGCCCATCAGTGCGACATTTATATAGGCACCTTACTTACTTTATAAAGTTGTATAATTTGACTGTTAGAATATATTTCAGAAAATAAATAAACATTTTTTATTTATAAGAAAGAATCATTTGAGAATTAGATACTCAAATTCAAATATCTTTATTCAATATAGAAGCACTTACTCATTGATTGTCAAAACACTACATATATAAATATAACAGAAGTTAAGGCATGAAAATATTGATTTTATTATTTATTGAAATAAACTTGTAATAAAATTTTTTCAATAAAATTGCTAAGCTATTCCCTAACACAACAGAACTTGTTGACAATGCGGTGGCCATTTTGTGCGTTTTTATTATGAATGATGGCGCGTAAAATAAATGAGTTGCCCATAAATCACTCACTTTTTGAGATAAGTTAAAATGAATGTAACTAATTAATTGAGTGATTTTAAATATTTAACATTTTTTATATAACACCATTTATTTTTAGAATTTAATTTAAAAAAATGGAATTCTTACAGTTACATGAAATTATGTTACCATTGAATGACAAATCATTGTTTAAATAACAAGCAATGAATTAGAAACCTAAATACTATATTTGTAATTCAAGTAAGCTACCAAAATTATACATTTGCGTGCACAATATTGACCGTAAATGGTTAATAAAAGAATGCACTTGTTATTGCGCATTAATAAATTAATGCTTTCCATTCACCCTATGGTTAAAACAGTAAATCAATAAAACATATACTTGGATTTTTCAGAAGAGTAAAAAATAACAAACAAAATAAAATAGAAACATAAATTTGAGAGTCTAAAGTGGGAATTACCACACATCAATTTTAATTATTTTCTTAACAAAATATACATGTATGTAAATAGAAAACTTGTACCATGGTTTATACAGCCAAATCTTATGAGCTAGATCAACATAAATTTGGGAAAACATTGTTTCATTTGTTTTTATTGTCTGCAATTTCGTTGGCCTTATAAATGCAAATATGGTGCCGAATTTTTATTTACTTTATGATTACTAACCTGTGTCGAAAATATGAAACATTACATAAAGTTATGGATATTAATGACAATTATTTCTTACATGTATGCAAATACTATACATGGTTATATGAAACAATTTTATTTTGTTTTAATTTAAAATTTCCTACATTTTTACACTACAGCATTCATTGTAAAAGGGACTGACGGAGAAGTCCTAATATCAGTTTTAGCCTGGGGTGCCGTCAATTATTTTAAAATTTATTTTATTCCAGTAAAACATTTATTTTTTCACAGAGGAATTAGAGTTAGAATAATTATGTAAAATAGTTTTATTTAACCAGTAATTTTAATTAAAATTTGAATAATGTATTAAATGTAAAACAAGTATATTACCATAAATTTCAGATTTCAATTGATATCGGAAGTTTTTGCAGCTTTGCAGTAAATAGAAAGTAAATGTAGACAAGAAGCAAGGTCATGAACTGATGAAATCAGAAATATACAATGGCAATTTGTGGTATGGTTACAACTTAAATTTAACTAAATTGAATAGTATGATATTGCTATAGCATTTTAAATGTGAATGATATGTTTATAAACAGTTATGACCTCCATAGTGATGTAACAGAAATTTAATAGGTTAACACTTTTCCCACCAAAATGTTAAAGAAGCACCCATACATCAGGATTGAACGTAAGTTGTAATGGTGCATTATTAAATGTGTAGTAATAATACGATAAAAGGTAATATACCTCTAGAATCGCTGGATGCGTGTTTGGAATCAGTTGACACACTTGGATCGTATCCCAGTTTCGAAAGTTTCTTATAATCATGAGTCACTCTACGACGTTTAATGCCTTCACCGGCGTCGGCTTCGCTGCTTGAGCTACAGTTATCTTCCGACAAATCGCGATTTTCACTAACTTTTACGGGGGATTCTATATGTTCCTTCGACGCCATTGTTTCAACGTAAAGAATGAAACGTCGACAAAATCACCACTATTCCTCAATTAAATTGCAATACCTTCGACCAAGTTAATATTGTGAACGCAGTGCACAATTATAGCCACAAAGTTAGCACGTAACGCATAACTTGCATAAAAAACAACTTGAGACGCCATTTACTTGGCTGCCTCGCACTTTTTTGTTGAGTTTTTTTATAGGTGTTGTTACAACGCGATTTAAGGCAGTGGATACATTTAGATACAGCCTTTTAGTACACCCTGGTTTTAAAGTTTAATTTTTATTTATCAATTATTTTCACTTTACACTAAAATTTCATATATATAAAATAATAAATAAAATGATTAAGTATAAATAAAAACTTAAATATGTAATGCTAGCGCACTCTATTGAGTTAATATAAATATACAAAGACAAGAATCATCTCTTCAACTTACACGACGCCGTTTATATTTTATGACATATTATATACTAGAGGGCGCTTTCAATGTAACCTATTTGCATGTTTATAATAAATTATGTCATAAGATTTGGATAGAGCAAGTTTATTTACAACACAAGTTAACAGCGAGTTCAATAGAGTTTAATTTTCCGTCGAACAAAAAATTAAACAGATGGTGACAGAATATTCATCAGGGTCTACAAAAAAGTTCCTTTTTTGTTTTATTTAATTATTAAATTGTGTTGAATGACGAGTTTTGCGGATTGACATTTTTTTTAAGTTGATGTAATTCTTGTGTGATTTGCTCAAGAATTTTAGAAACTGTTGAATTATTTTGAATTAGATAACCTCACGAAAAAATAACGATTATATGTAGAAATTAACATAATTATAAGAAAAAGTGTACGACAAGACCCAAATCCCCAGATGGAGGTTCAAATCTCGTCTTGCATCGCAATCGGGAGGTTAAACACAAAAATGATAGAAAATCAGGAAGATAGTATGAATGTTGAAAATCCGTAAAGCAGTTACTGTTATTTGAGATCGAAAAATAAACGGTAATTATTTTGTGAATTACGAAGTCGAGTTCTAACAGAATTTGTGATAATAGGTACTTGCTTTCTTACGTAACTGTTTATTTACGTTATAAGTTTAGTAAATAATTTGAGCAACTGAGAACCAGAGCTTTTATAAAAAGCCGTTGATAAAAATTAGCTTTTTTTTAAAATTCAAAACTGGTTAGCTCTTGACTGCTATCCCACCTGATGGTAAGTGGCGATGCAGCCGTTGATGGTAAGCTCAGTAGAAACCTACTCACTCTTGCCTTGAAGACGCCTACGTTGTATTCGGACGGAAAGACGGACGCCGGCAGGGTATTCCATTCCTTAGCTGTACGGATGATAAATGAAGAAGCGAATCGCTTTGTTCTTGTACGTGGAACGTCGACAGCATAAGGGTGGAGCCCCGCCGAGCGCCTGGTTGTTCGATGATGGAAAGGGGCGGGAGGAATGAGATCATGCAACTCCAACGCACACTCTCTAAAATGTATCCTGTAGAAAACAGAGAGGCTGGCTACTCTGTGGCCTGTGCTCAAGGCTAGTGAGATTGGTTTTAACCAAGTAGTTGTGGTCACCAATGAGCCTTTCCGCACGCCTCTCCATTGCGTCCAAGGCAGCCAGATGCCATTTTGCAGCCCCAGCCCAGATATGGCAACAGTACTCCACACACGATCGGACTTGAGCCTTGTATAGAGCAGGAAGCTGTCCCAGCGTGAAGTACCATCGCACCTTTAGAGTCAATGAACCGCCCAAAGTTGAGGTTTGAGGATATTTCGACTCCCAACAGCTGAAGGCGGTCGGTAAACTCCAAGGACACGCCTGCGTTTTGGAGGCGTTGAATCTCACAAGATTGGCATCGCCCCATTCAGAGACCGCCTGCAATGTAAGATTCAAACGCTCTACTATGGCCTCTGTTTCGGACTGGATGTGATCTCTACTGACCCGAAGACTCGGTTGGTATCTATCCACAACTGTGCTATCGCACCCATAGACACCGGGCATGAGCAGATCGTTGATATGCAGCAAGAAAAGAATTGGGGAAAGGATGGACCCTTGAGGAACTCCAGCATTTGTCGTCAGTGGCTCGAATGAACAGCCTTCGACGACTACTCGGAGAGACCGCTCACTCAGAAAGTCCTTCACCCAATCGATTAGGCCAGGAGATATGCCGTACGCGGGCAGCTTGCTTCGTTGTTGTCAAAGGCCTTCGAGATATCTAGGGAAACCGCGAGTGCTTCACCATTGTTCTCTAGGGAAGTTCCCGACCGATTTCGACGAAATCCGAACTGGCGGTCACTGAGAAGATCGTTGTGTTCTAGGTACGCCATGAGGCGGGCGATCAATATACGCTCCATAGTCTTACAGAGTATAAGAGGTATAAGGAGGTAATCGAAATTGGTCTGTAATTGGCAGGATCGGCACGACTACCCTTTTTTTGGAATGGGCTGTACATTAGCCAGCTTCCAGGACTTGGGGACTACTCCAGTCTTAAATGAGAGGCGGAACAGACGTGTCAAAACAATAGACAACTCGAGTGCACAAGCCTTCAGAACTAACGCCGGTATACCGTCTGGTCCACTAGCTTTGTTACCTTCAAGACTCCTTAAAGCTTTTAAGACCTCGCGGTTTTTTTTCCCCGTCGTATTTGTTTTCCGTCATGTTTAGGCCATAACGCCTTAATAAGTCTCGATCTCCGACAAAGATGGCGGGCACGTGTAAACCACGCCAAATTATGTATTTCGCAGTGTATTTGTGTTTGCAGCATTAAACACCCGCGGCTAGATAGAATCGCAAATAAAATACATGCCTACATGCTGACACGTACGTAAGTCCGTGTGCCTTCCCGTTTTTTTCGCTATAAAAATATTATTGCGGTCATAGAGTATACACTCGCAGAGTTTCTTACGGTCTATTTACACTAACATGATTTCGTGGTTTTAAATATCTTCATTTAACTTAACTTTAAATTGTATCCTTTGTTGAATGTTAAAAAAATGTCATCTCCAATAAACTTTCTTGGCCACTTTAATGTAACCAAGTTGAACTAATTAACTCAAAAACTTGCTTTTTATATTTTCTTTTAAGTTAAGAGTTAAACTTATATTAGTACTTAGTTTAAAATACGATAATGATTAAATTGATCAGTGATTGCTAGAAAAAATGACGCTGATTACTTTTTCGATTGTTGTAAAATAAATTTCTATATTTTAATTTTTTTCTAGATTTTAATTTAGTTTTTAGATTTTAATTGTCAACACTAAACTTTCTGGCTTAAGCTGCAGTAAATATAACCCGACGCTTTCCTGATCACAGTGTAACAATGCCTATTAAATTGTATAAACTTATATCTTTTTGATACGAACAAGGACTAGTACGTAATAGCTCTTTCAAAATAAATCAGATAACATATAACAGAAAGTTGAAAGTTTCTTACACTAATTGTAAACGGTTATTATTTCCATCCTGGCCTCATGGCTTCATATATAGCTATAAAAGTGAAGGAGTTTTCATCACAGTGGTCCTTAAATGACTAAACAGTTACATCTTACTCTGTGAACTTTACGTCACATTATGTAACCGGCAGTTCGTAAATTTTGAATTCATTAACAGTCCGCGCGCGACGGTCTCCGTCCGCGCTAAACTCGCCCAATTTGTATGCCCGCAGCGCGACTATTTGGCCCTGAATTGTTTAATTTGCGAATAATACATAACAATATTTCACTACGGCGTCGTAGCGCGTTAAGAAATTCACATTAAACGTCCATACAAAATATATTATGACGCGATACGAGTCAATGGCGACTTAATGTGAGCTTCCCGCGCTTGTTTCGAACTACGAATGACAACCATTCATTACGAGGCCAGTAACATCGGAATGTAGACATCACAGTTTTTTTTAAATAAGAATGTACTGGTGACAATAAACTTGCCTACAATTACATGCAGAATACGAACTTTTACATGTTTTTTATAGATAAGGTTCTTAGTATTATTTATCAGTGATATTGTGATGTACTTACAATGTTGGCGTTATTGATTTGATAATAAGTCGAATGTTAAAAACCTAATAAAAATTACTTTAGAGAAAGTTGTCAGAACTCCGTCGTTTATCAATTGCACTGGGTTCGGTACAGCTTCCATTTGGCCATTATCAATTTCTTTGGTATTAGACCTCGGACGTCGGAGATAAGTCATCGAACTCCTCAAAATCAAATAGAAATGTACAATAAATGAAGTCGATTTTGTTTTTCATTAGTAATAATGTACTTGTATTCATATAAAAGTAACAGTCTATACATGTCCCATTGCAGGGCAAAGGCCTCCTCTATATAGAGGGTATCGGGGCATAGACCACCACGCGGCCCCACTGCGGATTGGCGGACTTCACATATCTTTGAAATATATATATTTTTTTTGTTATTTCGAAAATATGCAGGTTTCCTCACGATGTTTTCCTTCACTGCGGAGTACGTGATAAGTCAGCAGTTAAAGTTAAAAACCTCATTGGTGCCGGCACCGGGGATCGAACTCAGGTTACTCGAGTATATTGAATTAAAGGCGAGCGCCCGGACACTGAGCTATCACGGCTCTCAGTATTCATATACTTAGATCTATATACATAAACTTATCAGACAGTTTTGTTTTTAATTTATGGGACTGTCTACAAACTTGTAGACAGTTTATCTGTATTTTTAGTGACTAGTGTCGCCCATGGAGGGTCACGCAATAGTATTCGATGTTGCCCCAATGAGCAGGTCCGTCTGGGTCAGTGCCACGACCTAATTGAAGACCAGCGTAAAAAAGAAGTGTTACACTGCGTTTCATCTGGTGAGTGAGGTAGCCGGGGCCCACGTTGTTAACACATGTGCAACCGGTGTTTTAAATGTCCATGGGCGGCGATTATCACTTAACATCAGGTGAACCGCCAGCTCGTTTGCCACTTTCTCTCATAAAGAAAAAAAAAATGCACATCTACCACACCAATTGAACCTGCATTG